CTGAGGAAAGGTGCTAAACGCCTGCTCCTTTTACCTAATGCCCCTCGAGAAATTTAAGTCAAGTGCTGTTAAGTGTGTTTTTGCAGCGTCTGAACTTGACCCCCGCTGGACTGTGTTCACATGCACGGCATCATTACTGGTTCTGCTGCGGATGCTCCGGGCTTGCGATACCCCCCCCGACGTCTCTTTTCATCGTGCAGCCGCAGCATAAACAATAGTTCAGACCGAACACCAGTGTTGCCCTTGAGATCGCTGGCCTGCTGCACTAATGGCTGTTTACTATCAGGGGGAAATAAGTAACGGAGAAAGTCTATTTTTACCCTGAAGCGGCCCCAGCGTCGACCTCACGGAGATGGTGGCGGAGGAGGGAGTACACATCCTTTAACTTTAATCAAACCACTGGCCCTGCAGGCTGAACGCTGGTGCAACAACCTCTGCATGATTCACATTCGTTCCTGTGTTCTTATGACCCAAAGTCACTGCAACGTAGCGAATTCCAATGGGATGTAATGGTAAAATATGAAGTCCGTCTGGGGGTCTGTGCAGTGCGGCATCAGTCGGGTGGGTAATTTAACTGTTTCCATTTGCAGTGAGAGCCACTAAAAACAGACTCACTGAAGGTTTCTGGGGGGCCCGCTTGTAAAAGCACTGATGCAGCGTGAGTTGGCTCATGGTCTGACAACCTGTTTGGGGAGCTGTATAGATGAGGTTTTAATGCATTCGTAATCCGTTAATACAAAAAAAAAAAAAGACTCTGGACTGTTGTGTTTTTTTCCACCTCGTTCAGACAAGAAGGATGCATTTATATGTTATAAATAAATAAACAAGATCTACAAAGAAATGTCTGCCGTTCGGTTACTGTTACTGCGCACATGCAAAGATTAAAGTGCAAAGCAGACATTCGTTTTAACGGCTTGAATAAAAATGAACCCTGAATGGGAGGAAGCGAAGAAACACACGTTGATGGATTTCATGCTCGTATATACACAGGGACGTTTGCAAGTATCAACATTCATCATATCCGAGCACGATCGTACCCTCCTCACACAAAGGCCATCCGTCATGATGTTGTAAATCTTTGCAGTTAGTAAATTGAAACCCACCATCAGCAACTCATTGCTGCCCCCTACTGAACCCGACGACCACACTTTGAGAATGCTTATGTTTAAATGGGAGGGGGGGGGGTAACCAACAGTACAGGTTAGCATGGTCAGAATGGGTTCCTCTGCTGAACTCCGCCGCTCACTTGTCACTTGAAGTAGTGACACTGAGCAAAGTAACAAGTAACACGCTAGGAAGGCAAACACTTCAGCAAGGTTCAGGTAGGTTGAAGTGTGGTATTTCACCTGGAGGTGATTTGAGACCGATACTACCGTATAAAACCACAGTTGAGTTTGTTTTGGCTGCCTGGCTGTTAACTCTGTCGCGCAGGAATGAGAAAAAGTTTGTGAAACAAAAGCCAGAAAACCAAAGTGCGTCTCAAAGACCAAGGAAAACATAACAATAAGTACGCGAGCACATGATATCATCGTGCAGCTCAGCATCTGGGAAAGTACCACATCGTCGGCCGTGTGAAGCGCTTTTGTGGCTCGACTAAACCAAAGAAAGATCTGGAGCCGAACAATCTACGTGTGAAGGATGTATATTCACAGGAAAGGACAGTTAAATGTAAATCCACATGGCGACGTCCGCCTCGGATCAAATCAGAGGAGAAAGTTATCCCGCGGATCGCCAGGAAAGAGAAGAAGACGTTGAATGTTGAGAGTCATTTGGGGGGGGGGGGGCGTATATGTGTCTTCCAGGAACATTTTCTCCCAGTTCTAACATTAACCAACAGGCCTTATTTCCTGAAACCAGAAACTCCCTCAGCAAAAGGAAACCCAGCAACACCTGCAGATGTGAGAGGCCGGCCAAGACGAGAGTCAGAAATCAGGCTTTCAGACGGAGCCACGGCCTAATAGTTTGAATATCTTGTTAACTTATTGCAGGTCTGCTCCACGTCGACGTTGGATTCATGGCGAATATAAGTTAGTTATTAACTATTAAGTATTAAAAAAAAACGGCTGAAGCCAAGGGCTTTATTTGACAAACATGTTGCAAAGAGATAATGAAAAAACATATTCCTGTGGACGACAGCTTCCCTCTTTGTATCGCGGTCACGTGGCTGCATATTTTGGAGCTCAGTGCAACCCACATGTGCCCTCCTAGCCCACAGGCTCGGCCTGCTCTTTTTTTTTCTTTTTTTCCTTCCTCCCAGCGAGAGTTGATTGATTGGCCATCGATGGAGACGTGCTCCTCCAACGAGAGCTCTCGCCGCAGGACTATCAAGTAAACAGTCTTGGAAGTCAAGGCCAGCGAAAGCCCTCGTCTCTCCATACCCTCCGTTAGGGAAGGCAGAGCCGGATCTCGTGTATCTGTGGTCAGACACAACCGCCACCGCTTCCTCGTATTGCGAGGCTGCTACAAAACCGCTCCAGAGAGCGACTCCGTTTCCTCAACCTTACTTAAGTGTTGGAATTCACGTAACCGTGCGGTGTGCTTCTGGAGCTTGGGACTTCCAGAAGCACACTGTTTATCACCGAAATCGACATAAATAAACAGTCCTCGCCGAAAAAAGAAGAAGAAGAAGAAGAAAAAAAGGCCAGTTTCCACCGTGCTGGAACAACTTTTCATAATGTCATAGCAAGGCGTCTCTTTAGTGCAACCATGTGCGGGAGCTTTCGGGTCTCACATATTTCACGGGGAGCTTTGTTTGATAGAAGTGATAAGTTCACGCTAACCGGGACCAGACCGGTGAGTGAGGCCGTCGGCCTTCTTTCAGACGCCTTTGTGCGAGGCGTCGTCCTGGTTCGCAAATCGAGGTCTCAACCGCTTGCCGAATCCAATCTGATCCACTGTTGACATGAAGTAGTCCCCCCCCCCTCCCCTTCACCCCAGCTCCAACCGGGGTGGTCAGCCGATGCCAACAACCCTGGTGCCAACAGGATGTTTTGGTAGTAGTAGAGTGTATAAAAAGCGGCTCAAACAGTAATTAGCAACCGTTTCTAGTTTGCTCCTGTTTTGATATTCGCCGTTGCAATTTGTCACATGGGAGTCGAATACGAGGGCCGTCGGCTGTTTACTTTTTGTTCAGGAATTCAGAAGACTCATTTCTTCCAACATATCTAAACCTCATTTGCTTCCCGGTGAATGAATGATGTTCTTTGGCTTTAATGGTCGTCTTTTTTTTTTTTTGCGCGAGGGTTCTTTACTCCGATTTCAGTCTGTCGGTCGTTTCAAAAGCTGCAGCGGACACTTGAAATAATTTCCGAGGTCCTCTCAAATCTCAAACTTGTGTTTAAAAGGTGATACGAGCTCTATTCGCTTTGTTGGACAGATGTTTCTATCTCAGCTCCCTACAGTGCAGACCTCGCCCTCATCGTCTGCACCATATCCCTCAGAGACAAAGCAGGATCTCACAATGTTTTTTCCACGTTGGACGGGGACAGTCAGTGGACCGCCAGTGGTCATTGTCTTCTCTCTCCCGAGACGTTTGACGCTGAGTTGAGAACAGTGCTTAAGCTGAAAGTCATCTCGGCTTTGTCCCATCGAAAGGTGAACCCTTCAACTCGGCCTGAGGCGCCGCGCTCCCCGGACCGGGCTTTCATTAACGGTATCGCCGTGCTTTGCTTTGTTTAACTTTCAATCAACTTTGGCCCAATCCCAAACTCACACACTCACGGACTTTGTAAAAAAAAAACGTCGAGTGTTTGACGGCTCTCTCGCGGACGATTTGAGTCCTTGATGAAGCCTTTGCGTAAGTCTTCACTTAGATGGGGACTTTCCTCAAGGCGATGATACAAAGAAAAGGGAAACGGTGAAAGCAAAGAAGGAGGATGAAACATATTGCAATTACTCAATTAAAGGTGGGTACGTTTTCTTATTTTGTATTAATCTAATCTCATCTTCAACCGCCCATTCGGGGTTTGGGTTATTTATCAAATGCTTGATTTAGTCACGGAAGCGCTTTTCACAGCAACAAGCCAACGGATCGTTGGACAAGGACCTCTCCTCCTGTGAGGTAAGCGGCTGGAAAGCGTTCAAATGAGGGCGTCTCCACGGTAACTGTTATGTTACAGCAAAGTGGCGTCAGTAAAACCACGAGGGTTCAGGGTTCAAGGCTTTAAGGGGGACATTGGGATCGGGCCTAAAACCAATCCCAATCCTGAGAGTGCTGTTTTATAAACTCCAAAAAAAGGGCTGAGGAGGTGCTTCCTTTTGTGAACTCCAGGGAGGAAACTCTGGAGCTCTTATTCAGCTCCTTGTTCCCTTACTGCTCACTTCGCCCAATCAGTCCGGCAGAAATAAAATCTAAAAATCAATATTAAAACTCAACCAGTAGCCAGTGAAGGGGAGACGTGGTTACTTCTGTTTGTACGAGTGAATCACGCGGCAGCAGCATTCTTTATTAATTGCAGTCTTTGAAGGTTTGGCTGGCTGATACCAGAATAAAGTGCGTTGCAGTCGGCGAGTCTGGAAGCGATAAAAGCATGAATGACTTAATCTAGGTATTTTGATTTTGCCGCGCTGTCTCAGTTGAGCAAAGAAGGACTGTGATGGTCACCTGAGCATTAAAAGTCAATTCAGAATCCAAAATGTTTTGTTTCAAAAGCTGTGAAATGGAGTTCGGGCCGGTGTGTTGCTGCAGTGAAGAGAGCAAAAGGATGGAATCGCTCAAAGAGTTTAAAAGATATTCAAAAAGCCAATAAAGTAAATGGAGGCCAGGTTTTACAACCTCTAAAATATGGTTGTGACGGTTGCGGTCAGGCTCTGACGATGGTCGAATGGTTACATGCGACGGCCTTGAGTGTCGGGAGAGTTTTCCCAAAGCTGTGGGGTTGTCACAAAGAATAAAACAAGAAAAAGAAGTTCCCTCCACACTGATGCCACTCGTGCATGAGACAGCAGTGGTGTAATGGTTTTAATCTGCGACTGAATGAACCAGACTGAGTGACACTAGAAACTTTAGAATGTGTGAGAGATTTACAGTTTTATTCAACAATTCAAGGAGACACACAACAGTGTGCGTGAACTTGAAGTACAGGTTCATGGATTTTTGAGAGTGTTGCTGCTAAAAAAAAAAGTTTCAGCTAAAACTGCAGATGAAGGCGTTGAGTGAACCAAAACAATTCACTCAAAAACGGTGAAACCCTTTAAAAGGAATAATTCCAATAGTTAACAATGACCGTTATTATTATTTGTTTCCTATGAGAAGAATTGCACTTTTCCCCTTATATTTAGAGCTAACTATTTAGTTTCATACAAGGCTGGGATACATTTAGCATAGAATAGCCTTTATACAGCAAATCAATCAATCACGTAAAACATAGTACAGACATTTCAAGTTGAACTTCCAGCTAAGTTAATAGTGATTACAGACCACAATAAAATCACAGAATCACATGACGCGCGTCGGGAAAGAATAGTATCAATCTTCAGTAAGACGCATACAGATGTGGACCTTAACGTGGACTGTTTGTGTATGTATGAAAACAGTGTGCATCCGTTGGGTTCTCACAGAACTTCGTTGCACATTTAAAGTCTTCTGCATTATATTTTGGAAATGGTTGAACATTTTCACTTGATGCCATAACAAGGCAGCATTATTGAGACATGCAATGTGAAGCCACAGGGACACTGTGTTCAGTTTGTCAGGTTTGTAATATTATGCCCGGGTCAAGTCATAAAGATGTCTCAACCCAGCATAAATGTGCGGCATTTCCCAGAAATCACCATGTGATTATAAAGAACCGAAGTATTTTTGAGGTGCAAGTCCCTCGCTGTTCTAGCCGATCTCACGAGGTCAATGAGGACGCTCGCAGTGCATCTGTCAGGTGGGGGGTGTTTACTACACGCATCTGCTCCACCGGCGGAGCTACAGCAGTCTCTTCACGCGGCAGCTGTGCTTCTCTATGTGCATGGTGGCTCGGTCGGTGGAGCTGGTCAGGTCGTCCAGGACGTCATCCTGCCGTTCGAGCTCGGTCTCTGCCTCCAGGGCGAGGTTCTTCAGCTGCATCAGCATCTTCAACACACACACACACACACACACACACGCTCTAAAATGTACACAGTTGTGCAAGATGCACGCAGTCCTCCTTCGACATCACAGAGCTGGACGACTGAGGAGCGAGACGCGAATGAAGAGAAGATGAGCTACTGAAAGCGAAGAATCGTGTGCAGGGCGGAGCACGCCGAGCTACATGTGAAGACGGGGGTCGGTGGTTTGAAAAGGGAGTGCTATCCTGAGACAAAGGAAGAGGAGCGGGGGGGGGGGCGGGGAATGAATACTGCTAAGTTTTCTTTAGACGACGGCCTGCTGCTGAATGTCAGCAGACGGGAGGTCGGGGGGGGGAGGGGGGGACTTTACATTTGCGGATGCAATAACATGTACTCACATGGCAGATATGATTATTTTCCACACTCCACATGTGCAGTACATGAAGATAGCGCAGACGTTCAGGGGAGGGGAAAACCTTGGCGCATCTCCTGGGACCATTGTAATCACACGCCGTCGTTTGGTTTCAGCCCTCGTGGTCTTAAGGAATCGTACGACTTCACCTCTATGGACCAACAACCGTGTACGTTATGCTTGATGGAAGAGCTTAAACACAAGGCGATGGTGCCGAGCGAGATCTAATAAAACACTCCCTCAAACCCCCACCGCCGCGCTTTCTAAACCAATATTATGCTATGCTACACATGCTCTCACACAGCCACGCTGACGTCATGTCAGGTTCTCACTGGCCGGACGTCGAAGCCGAGCGGAGAAACAGTTCGACGCAGATAGTGTGTCAACGCACACCGAGGAGCGACTGCATTCGCTCACTGGGGTCTACGACTCGTCAGCTGGGAGAACACAAACGGCAGTTAACGTCCGCAGCGGAAGTGTGTCATAGAAAAACAGAGCGCGTGAATATTTTTAGCTGCTGCTTACGCGACGGTGTGAGGCCTTTAGTCATGTAGAAAGCCCCTAAATTAAACATTTAGGCTGGAACTGATAGAAAAACACATGAGCTAAAATGCTTGTCTTGACTGCGAAATTTCAGGACTGTGAACTGTCAGGGGGGTAAAAAAAGAAAAGAAATACAGCGGGGGAATTCTACCAATGAGCGAGCCGGTCGCTGCGGTGAGCGAATTAGTCATTTCCATCCTCCAACAATTACACTGGTATGAGATGTCGGGACAAAGAGGAGTATTTGCTGCGGCACTTACTGCGGGATATCAAACCGAGTTGACCCTCTGAACAAGTCGAGCCGCTGCAGATTCTAATCTCTGCATGGATTACATTAGGAGCAGAGTGTGTACAGAGGCAGAGCATTAAGTCCAAATTGGCGGCCTCTGAAGTTTGAACCATTGTCTGCTGTGGACAAAGCGCCACTTTACGAACGCAATCGACAAGCCGGCGTGGCCCCGATGCCGTCACGGCTGCGAGGGATTTGTTTGATAAAAGATTACAGGACAGCGGTGAAACGTGGTACCTTGTTATTATGAACAATAATTAACTGAACATTGGATGTAAAATCTTAACAACGCCTCGTTCTAGATAAGATTTATTCAATGGGTCCACCAAATAATGCATGATGAGATCGGACTGTTAAGCAACTGAACCACAATGAAAACAGAGGTCGCTCATTCAAGCGAAGGCCTCGTACTCGACAGCCACAACTTTCCACCTCGCCGCGTTAATATTATGTGCTGGTATGGAGCTCAGAAACATTACATCGTTCTGGCCGAAGCTCCCACCGGCATTCATTGCAAGGCTGGTTCTGTCAGTTGGAAGCGTTTTTATTATTTTACACATGAAGTCAGCGTTCATTTAATCGCCTAAGTCATCTGTTCGCGATGCGTATCTAAGCACGCGACAAAGGAGAACCGAAAAGATTCTACGCACTTTTATTCTAAAATTAAAACCTGGAATAAAAGTCGCCTTCATCGTAGGTCGGGATTTGCGTCACTGTGAAGCACCACAGACCATGTCTGTAACATTTCTCAGCGTTGCGACGTCCTGAGTGGAAAGACGTTGTAAAGTCCGACCAAATGACTGAACAGGTTTCTTTCCTTCTCTTAAAACCAGGACGGACTTCGGTTTGTGGTCTCACTAAATAACATTTTAATCATACAGGATGATCGCTGTGGTGATTTGTGGGGCCGGAGTGGAACTTTCGAAAAATACATCTCCCTGAAAAGCCGTCGCTGTTTACCGTAATAAATATAATTATGCAAATATGGTGAATCGAAATGCAGGTCACATGTTCTCACAGGTCTCACCTGCTTGAGTTCTTGGGCCTCGGCCTGGCTGACGGACGGCTGGACGGCCTGCACCTGCAACTGGGACAGCTCTCCTGCCGGGACCTCCAGCGGGAGCTCTGTGTCCTGGCACCGTTGCTGCAAACCTGGCTCCATGGGTGGAGGTGGTGAGAAAAAAAAAAAGGCGCAGAGTGCGTATGTTGTTTATGAGGAAACCAGACAGTAAACTCAAAGCAACTGAGGCAGTGGAGGATGAAATGACTCATCAAAACAAAATATCTGTCAAGGAGTGACACCCGTGACCGTGTCCAAAAAGCATGTGGACGAAATGTTTTCACATGTGGCTTCACGCCTATAAACACACAGAGGTGGAAACGTAGACCTGTGCTGCCTCTTAGTGGTCAACCTCGTGCGAGACATGGAAAATGTGAAAGAAGCCTTTTATATTTACATCATCCGTGCCTCACCTTGAGTCCAGCTCAGCCCCTCGGTGTCGCACGGAGAAGAACCTGGAGTCGCCCTGAACGCCGCGTACTCACTTGTGAGCTCCACTTTCTTCTTGTACTGCATCTCCAACACGGACATGGCCTCCGGCATCTTGGCCGACAGGAGCCGGAAGCAAATATCCGGCTTACCGATGAACCGCTGTCTCACAGTGATCTCATACGGACTGTGCACCCTGATCTCATCGACGTCGCTCCGCTCAAAGCGGTGAAGGAGTTGGCGGTTCGTGTCACGCACCTCCAGCGAGGAGACCAGCACCGACAGGCATCCGGGTTTTAAGTCAGCGTTCCCGCCGTGGGTCACTACGGCTGGGATGCTTGCGATCACCTTACTTCTACCGGACCCCGTGGCGGCCGCGGACGCCGCGGAGGGAGCGGCTCTCGCCGCGTCCTCGGCTTTGGCGTCCTGCTGAGACTTCCAGGGGAGTTTACCGAAAGGCCACCAGGAGGGAGACTCCAGCTCCAACAAGAGTCTGCAACAGAGTTAAGGTGAGTTTAAGCCACCGGCCTTAGAAGAGAATATAAACAAGTTGTCATAATTAGAGGAATATTCAGATCATTACTTATCCGCCAGGCCCAGATCAGAGTCGATCTTCTCCAGCCCCTGCATCACGTTGTCAAACTGCTCTCCTTGGTGACTGAGGACCTTGCCGGTGTCCTCCAGTCTCCTCTGGGACTCTGCCACCAGTTTGATCAGCTCTCTGCCTTTAGAGGGTTGACCTTTGGCCCCCGGGGCCTCGAACGTGGGGGACAGAAGGCGTTCTCTCCAGAAATGCTCCAGCACATTATAAACCACCACCCGGTTGGGCTTCAGGGAACCAAACCAGTGCTTCACGTTGCCCTCTTCGAGCACCGTGAGAGTGCTGAAGATGAAACTGGACGACTCCATCTTGATCGCCACGATGCTGGAGAGGCGGAAGCCGGCCACACTCGCTTTACTCTGGCCGGAGACGAAGTGCACCATGGTGCGCGTGAGGGACAGCGTGCCATTTTCCCACCGCTTCTCACCGTTGATGTAATAGGAGCCCGGCCAGCTGTGGATGGGAACCCCCCGGTTCATCTTGGAAGGAGACACAATGACTCACCTGGGAGGACAAATGAGCTTCAGCGTAAGGTTGGACACTGGTTCCAAATACAAGTTCACCCACTGTCGCTGTTTAAACACGTAATAAGGACATTGCATGGCGTGACGTCTCTGTCCTGATAATAAACACACTTTCTTCGGTGAGTCAGGGGGGGGTCCAGGGAGAAGATGAGCTCCGCCGACGCGTTAGAAACCCTCTTAGAGTTTACCGCTTCTTCGTGGTGCAATTATATCTTCCCAATTCCACCCTGATTGTAAACATCCGCTCGTCGGTGCTGTTACGTTACACATCAGTACCGCTGGTGTTTATTACGGAAGTGACGTCACGCAGCGGTACGGCTGTATTTACTGTCCGACTGGAACACGATGATTGCCAGAGAAAGATACCTCGACACAATTGCTAGCTAGGACGATGGTTTTTGATTTAGCCCAACAAATAGCCACACTGTTCTTATTTAGTAGATTTAAACGGTAATACGGGAAATAGTAGCAATACTTAAACACCAGCGTTATTATACGTCCGCCCTCAGGTACCATGACCTGCTATCTTCGGGGTGGAGTCAAATGGAGCGACCTGTTGTCAAAATAGACAACAACAAAAAAAAAAACACGTATTAGCATTATGTAACATTTCGAGCCTAACGAGCCTACGTGTGACAGCGTGAGTGAAAATAAAAGTGCTATGTCTCGGCTGTGTAGTGCGCTTTTTCTCGTCAAACCAATCGACCTGCTAGCTTACTCGTTCAGTTTCTCGCCGTGCAGACGGTGACAGCTAGGCGTGCTAACCGGCTAGCCGAGGTCTTGTTTACCGTTATGGAAAGGGAGGCGTACCGTAACTGCTGCAGCCTGGTGAAAATACCGGGGCAGTCGTACGAACAGTTTTGGTCATCGCATTTCGTCGACTACATCGACAAGGAGCTGAGCTATTCCAAGTTTTTCAAGAAGTACTTGCTTCCCAATCACCCGTGCATGTTTTCGAGGAGGTTTACGGAGGACTGGAAGTGTAGGAAGCAATGGGTGTCTGACGGGGGGAAGCCCGATTTCCAGAAACTGCTGCAAGAGTTTGGTAAATAGTCCCGTTGCTGATACGTCAACCAAGGTCACGATGCGGCCGCTGCGATCACCGGTGTCACGTAATGTTACTGTATGTGTTCTTCATCACAGAGGAGACTCCTGTTCCTGTGGCAAACTGCAATGCAAAGGAGTACAATGCAAACCCGAAACAAGTGATGCCTTTCAAAGAATTTATACAATACTGGAAGGAATACATCCAGAACGGCCACTCATCGCCTAAAGGATGCCTTTATCTCAAGGACTGGCACATGTCAAGGTGCCTAATAGTATGGATTGATTGAAGACTGTGTGCGTTATGTGTAACGACTAATGATTCATTTTACATTATGGTTCTACAGGGACTTTCCGGAGCATAATGTTTACAACACACCAGTCTTTTTTTCCTCGGACTGGCTTAATGAATACTGGGATACGATTGAAGTGGATGATTACCGATTTGTCTACATGGGGCCTAAGGGCTCGTGGTATGGAACATTTACATTGGAACAACTCAAAATATAGCTTTTTATTGTAAAAAAAAAAAGTCTTCAGAGTTTTAGTGTAACTATAAATGTGAGGCAACACAAACCCGGACATCAATCAATCCGATGCGCTTTCTCGTCCCCAGGACCCCTTTCCACGCTGACGTGTTTCGCTCCTACAGCTGGTCTGCAAACATCTGTGGCAGGAAGAAGTGGCTCCTGTATCCTCCGGGTCAGGAGGAGTTTTTACGTGACACTCACGGCAACCTCCCTTATGATGTGACATCGGCTGAGCTTCGTGACGCGGATCTTTTTCCACACTCTGAAGAAGCCTGTCAACCTCTTGAAATTATACAAGAGGCTGGTGAAATCATTTTTGTGCCCAGCGGGTGGCACCATCAAGTTTATAATCTGGTAAGAACCGTAAAGGCAACTACGTCCAAGCAGTAGAGTTTAAATGTCTTACCCATGACATATTACACAATAAGGTCTCATCCTATTTTCTTGCGTGTTTTGACTACAGGAGGACACAATCTCTATAAATCATAATTGGTTAAACGGCTGCAACGTAGACATCATGTGGCAGTTTCTTCAGAACGAGCTGTCGTCTGTTCAAAAAGAGATCGACGAGTGGAGGAACACGATGGACTCGTGGCATCAGCACTGCCAGGTACTTCAGACGCACCGCCGCCGCCGGGAAGGTTTGCAACGTCACACTTAATCACTGTCGCTTTACATTTCAGGTTATTATGAAGGCCTGTTCGGGTATCAACTATGCAGAATTTGCAGCGTTCCTGAAAATCATTGCAGACAACCGAATGGCTTTCCTGAACGCTTGTTCCACTGGGGAGTCTTCGGATTACTCGCGGCGTCTCTCGGAGAGCCTGACCACGCTGGGACCATACCACGCTGCCTTTGACCTACAACGAGTGGCTCACCTAATTGAACGCCTGCTCTGCAATGAAGACTTTAAGCGGCTCGATCACTCAACTTTGACTTTGCAGCCAGAGTCCATGTTGCAGCAAATTCGGGACACCATTCAGTCCACAAGGGGGCAGCATCTCCTCTATCAGGAATAAGAATCTCAGTGGCGTCTCCACAATGTCATCGTCTGGAAATGGCTTGAACGGAAAGTGCCAATTCGTACAGTGCAAATAAGAGGAGGACAAAGGCGTTACCACATCTTTGGTTTGAGATAACCGGAAATCTCAAATGTTGCTTGTTAATGTCCTAAACTGTTTGTTTTGCACTGAAATATGGATAGATAAATACATTTAAAAAACACATTGAGTTCTTGTATTGCGTTTTTTGCAGGTTTATTCAACAACAACCAAAACCCATCCCACAGCTGGTAAATGTTGTGCATAGTGCTGATAAAAATGAAATATAATTCTATGGTAAATAACTCCCCAAAGATATTTTAAACAGAAATACACACAATATAATCAATTCCACACAGCTGTGAAGCAATGACAGTATAACATACTGTACTTCAGGGTTCTGTCTGTCAGCTGGGATGCATGTCACATTTGAGGGAACTCTAAAACATCCTCTTCACTCAATTTTCACATCTTTAGGCCACCAGTCTGGCACGGAAGCCTCAAGAGCCACCGTGGTGTCATCAGAAGATTTGAGTGTCAACGTTTCTTTGGCGTGAGCCAGGCGGATCAGGCTCAGGCCCAGCTGTCCAACCGCTGCTCGGTGCTTCCCGGCTGGCTTGCCCGACTGCGTTTGCAGCGCAGCGCCCTCCTCGAGGTCTTGGACTGGGGCTGACAAGCGCACTGGCATCAGGCGCTTCCGAACCACACCAGTGTGATGGGTCCTGGCTGTGAGCTCCTGGCCAATGTAACAGCCCTTGCTAAAGCTGATACCCTGCATGTAGACAAGATTTGACTCCAGTGGTAGTGCCACCCCTGGGGGAAGGTCCCGTACTCCCTCTGGAAGTCCTGGACAACAATGACAGTAAAGGAAATAAACAAAACTAGTCGAGAGCCCACAGATTGTTGTCGTGTCCCGTTTTTTCTTTTTCTAACAGATTGTACATATTCTGACAAAGTAGCTGGTCTCACCTATTGAGTAGCGATGTCTGTGATACTCTGCTGTGTCACCTTTCTGGCAGGATGCAATGATATCCAGGGGGTCCACTTGACTTTCCAACACCAATCTCCAGCCCATTTCCTGTGTTCGAGGATCGGCGTCCCATACCAGAGCTTGGTCTGGGGAGGAGAGCTCGGGTTTACTGGCCTCTTGACCTGCGTTCTTTTGCTTGGAAAGAACCGCCCAGACTGAGAGCTCTGGACAGGGGTCTATAGTGACCTTTCGGCGGAGCTTGTAGATCTTCAAATGTTTCAAGATCGAGTCCTTAATCGTGCTGTCACACTCCAGGAAGACGCCCTGTCCTCCACCGGCTTCTTTCAGACTGAAAAGAAAGTACGGCAAGTTCAGTGCATTATGAAACAGAAAATCCACCATATAAAAACGATATAACCAGTTACTACAGTGTTAGGGGCTCCTGTACATCCATTTACAGTGGAATTATTTATTTCTTCACTCTGCCGATTGACTGGAATTTGACTAGAAATCATGGTCCAACAAAGGACACTGAACAGGTACATAAATACAACTAATCTAAAGCTGGATTGGAGACATTTCCCAGCTGAGTTTACACATTACACTGTTGTCACATACTAGTATTGATTAAGTTGTTGCTATAAACTCTTATAAGCTGAGCAAATTCCATTGTAAGCACAAATGCTGACATTCTTCCTTTAAATTGCTAATGATGCATTTATTTTACAGGCCGGGTTAAACTACTTCATGTGGACAGCTTGCAGAGTGCAAGTTGTTTTTCAGTTGCACTGCCTTTGGCTCATTTAAAAGTTGCCTAATCAAAGGGACCCTGCACTTAGAAGTTGTGCTTAAGGTTACGAGCTCATTTTCGTGTTAGTGGACCACCACCAACTGTCCTGGAAGATAAGCAGCGTCAGCCGCACCCTGGTGTCAACCCACAACACGCGGTGATAAACGGTTCATAACGGACTGTGCTCTACCTGTACAACATGACGTCATACAGCGTTCTTCCTTGCACATTTAGCATGTGCGAGTACAGAGCCGCGAGCCCGGGCTCCTCCAGCAGCTCCACGTCATTGGTTATAATCCCCTGGAGGAACGGGCGCGTGTCTTCTCCCCGGACTCGCAGCACGGTCCTGTGGGGCAGCTGGTAGCACGCGAACCGCGCGGCGGCGGCGGCGACGACGACGACGTCGTCTCCCTCCCGGCTGTACCTGCGCACGATGACCCGCGGCGGGACGCGAAGCACACGGGCAGCCGAGTGCTTCGCGGCGGCCGCGAGCGCCGCCCGGGCCAGACACAAAGGGCCCATGTTTGACCGAGGACGCTACGGTTCGAAGCGAGGAGGCTGGCGCGTTTGTTAACAACTGCGGACGGCTACGTAACGCAGGACACCGTCGTTGACTCCCGGCGGCGAGGACTCCATTTTTGAAATCCCACAATGCATTGCACCCAAATAAAGGAAGCTCGCATGTGTTTGACGTCACGTGAGCAGCGAGCGCGACGCTTCGGGGGAAGTCTTCGTAGTAATATAAGGCTGATGAAATAAGTCGTTTTCTCGTATAAGAACACATGTTCACAAACCCGTGTTCTTACATCAGCATCTTCTCAGCAGTATGTTCTTGTTGTAACGTGAAATGCCATTAAAGTCATTATGTCATTCATGGTTAAAACTAGACAATATAGAGTTCATCTGTCTATGCAATGTTCACCTGTCTATGCAATGTTAATGGAAAAATGAACTTATCACCCATGCTTTTGTAGTAAAAAGGGAAAAAGTTGTGTTAAATATGTATGTGGGTATAGGTTCGATGAGATAAAATTGAGCTCTAAAACAAAATCAAAAATCAAAGCCAAGAGTCAATATTTATGAAATAGGATGATCGATTGTTTTAAAAGCACAGCCTGCTGCTTATTTTAACTTAATGTTTCCATTAGTTTATGTCACATACAGTCCTTCATGTATATTATATTAAAAGGCCTTCTGTAAACGTGTAAATAAACTTTAAAAAGAATAGAAACACAATACAGTACTGTAATACATCTACGTGAGAGTTGTATATATATACTGTATTCAAAGAGATATTTTGGAGATATATGTTTTATTTACCACGGCTATTATAAAGATGATATTAGTTTCAGTCGCTATATACCTTTTTAATCTACACGGGGAATCGAATGTTTACACGCTTGTTGGTGCTAGTCGGACCTTTTTCATGACACACCGGTCCGCCTCACTAAATCGTCCGTCTCAAGATGGCGCAGTATGCCAACATCGTCCGAAGGGCTTTGGGACAATTAGGAGGTCACGGTGGAGTTCGAGGTTTTTTGGTTCAATTGCTGAGGTCAGTTTGATTGGATGGTTGGAATTGTCTTAATTAAACTACTGTTGACTGTGTTAGCTTTTTTAAAGAGGGGTTAACCCCGTCTTCGTTATTCAGAGCCTAACGTCAGTTCCATCTTTAGCTTCAAACACCAGTCTGTACTTTTAAACGTCAAAAGATGTCAGACATGTAAATGTTTTTGAATGGAATGTAACACCAAACATGAATGTTATTTCATCTAAGTTAAGTGTTCATTAGGAGGATTTCTCTCGCTTTAAAACTACTTGATCCTAACTGAAGAAAAGTCAAAGGACCACTATTTTTTTTTTCAAATTGTAGTCAACACGTTGTTTTTATTTGAGAAACATGCCACCTTTTATATAATCTGTTCACAATGCCACAATTGCACAGAAGATGGTGGTAGAGATGTTGACCTTAATGTATGAGTTTGTGCTGTGAACGTGACCATCAGCGTTTCATTGGCAGGGTGAATGACGTGAAGACAGGAGCCCTGGTTGGTGTGGATAAATATGGAAATAAATACTTTGAGGACAATAAGAACTACTTCTTTGGTGAGTCGACTGCCTCCAAAAGTGCATGATTTTAACTCGCAGGGCATTTACACCAAGAAATGTTGTTAGCAATATCTTGCACAGGATGTTGAGTTATTTTACCACACTTTTGCAACTAATCTGCTGCAAACAAATTTAAGACTTAATTAATAAACTCATGTTTGTCTCCAAAATGTGTTCAGGACGTCACCGCTGGGTGATCTACACCAAAGAGATGAACGGAAAGAACACAATGTGGGAGGTGGACGGCAGCATGGTTCCATCTGAATGGTAGGACCTGCTGTTTGTTAAAGGATTAGTCCAGCAATGACTATTTGGGCTAAAACCTTTAATGATTTATTGGGCAATGTTTTGCACATCTACTATGAATCTTATACAAAACAACATGCAAAATAATATAAAAACATGTAGTGGTTTTTAGCTACATCATATTGTTTAATCCTCTACTGCAGGTAGATTCAGATGATTTTTGATGTTTTCAAAAATCCCAACAACATAAATAAAAGAGAGGATTCGGCTTGTCATTTCAGCCAGCTACCTTTTTGTTTTCCCTCTTCAGGCATCGCTGGCTGCACTGTATGACGGATGACCCCCCAACCACACATCCACCAGAGCCCAAGAAGTTCCTGGCCGAGGTCCACCAGTTCAACGTGAGTGGCAGCTCACAGCAGTATGTGCCCTTCCCCACCACCAGCAAGAAGATCCACGAGTGGGTTCCACCCAAAGCTGGAGCTCAGTGAATTCTGAATGCGAATTCTTAAATTATTCTATCTTGTGACTGCATCCAATACGTCCTGAATAAAATCTCTATACAACGATTTATGACGGGTGGCAGTTCCTACAATGAACCTTTTGAACAATAGCAGTGTTTTTTTGGCAATTGGTTTTATATCCAGGAATTACGTTAATATAGGAAAAATTGACTTTTGCGCATACAAGTTTACCGAGCCATTTCCGTGGAGGACCTTCTGTACCTTCACTCACTCCTGCAACAGCACCGGAGGAAATAAAGGGGGAAAAGAAATGCTGTTTTTTGTTCAATAAAATAATAAATAAATCAACAAATCAATAAAAAAAAATTCTGCTCACCCAACAGTAAAAAATCCGTGACCCTAATTCCTTATCTCAATTAATAATTATCTTAAATAGCTATAAATGTTTGTTTCATTCCTTATACTTTTTTACGTTTGACTTAAAATAGTTGTTTCATTCAACCAAGACTAGAGCAAATAAAAGATTTTGAGTAAATGTTTCCATTAAAGGTTCTGTGTTACACAACTTGAGCTATTTAGTTCCTACATGTGTGAATACTTAAATGGTTGAGATAACGAGTTTCCACACATGTTCTAGTTTAGCCAGTGAATCAGTTGTCGGTAACAGAAGAATCTTAATTTCTTGTCTCGTTGGCTTTGATTTGATTTGTTTTTCTTGTTACAGAAATAAAATACTTGTTACCAAACTGAAACTGAATAGCAAGCTACTAACTTTTAATTAGACTTCAATAATAAAAACTGTCCACTTTGCTGTTTCAAAGACTCCCCCCACCATTAGTGGAAAGCACGCAGGCAGATGTGTATTATTAAGAAAGAACTCAGAGGTTTCAAATGACTTTATTTCTTCATGAATGAAATACGAGAACAGTCTTTAAAAGTTTTAGGCACTTTGAAGTATGACAACAGTGAAGGCAGGATTACATATTAGAAACATACAAACTGAAATGATCATCTTCAAGACCTAACATATCTAAACATAAGATAAATATAGAGCTAATTGAATAGCTATGGATGGGTTTCTACTGGATGTGTATATGTTTTGTTCCAAGTTCTAAAGCATGCATCATCTGTTTCCATTTGTCAAAAATATTTACTTGGCATCGGAAAAAAAATGTAATTACTTCCTCTGTTTGAAACGTGACACGTTTGAGGCTTTGAAAAATACAGAATAGATAAAGGCTTTGCACGCAACGACTGAAGATCATCACGCTGAGCTGATATCCACCAGAAGATCCAGCCCTGTTTCATTATCTTCATCAAAACATTTCACATTTCATCTGCTTCCAGAGAACCTGCTCCACACTACATCCAAAAATACAACCCAACATGTTAAACAAGCGCCTCTCCAACAATAACCCTCATTCTTCACAAGTCAGTCATTGTGCATTTGTACAGTGTTTTTCACTGCGTTTTTCATATTTGGATTGAGGGTACAATCGCACTTACAAAGTTAGATAAATCCAGTTCAGTGGCAGTCAAGGGTAGATCAGATAAATAGCCGAAAGCAGTCTGTTTATATTTTGAAATTTTATCGAGAATTAGAGATGTATAATTAGGTAAGCACATGTTAACCATGTCCTGAAGCTATGGGAAGAACAACGTGACACACTACAGAAACAGAGAAGATTTGTGATACTGGATTCGATCAGTTCCACGTGTGGTTTTCTTTTAAAATTCCCCCAAACTGTGTACTGCGCTCCTTCAGCGGGTGATTGAAAGTCTCAATTGTTATTGTCCTAAGTCGCATCCCTCCCACACACACACACACACACACACACACACACACACACACACACACACACACACACACACACACACACACACACACACACACACACACACACACACACACACACACACACACATCTTCCGGCTGCGTGAGTCCTGGAGTCCTAAACGTTTAAACTGTTAATGAACTTAATCAGATTCATCTCTAGATCCAAACAGAGGTCTTTCCATTCTTGACGATGGTGGCAGCCTTCTCTGTGGCAGATTTGGGCCTCGCTCCTTGTTTCTCTTGGACTGTATTGACCCGATTTTGTTCTGCCACGGTGCCCGCAGATACAGGACTACTGGTCCGCGATGTTTGCTGGTTGGTTTTGGTTTGATATGTTTGAAAGGCCATATCGAGCTGTTCCTGGGCCACCCGTAGGTGCCGGTGCAGGCTCGCCAAATCAGACGGGATGTTCTCGTCCGGGCTGGCGCACTGCTGCTCCTGGGCCACGTTGGCCATGTTCTGCTCGTGGGTGATGAGGCTGTTGGGGATCCTGCCGGGTTTGTCTGTCTTCATCACAAGGTTGTACCCCGGAGGAGAGGCTGGGATGTTTCGAGAAAACGGGTAGCCGTAGGACGTCCTCATGCCCCGGTTCCTCTTCATGCGCAGGGTGTCCCGGAAAGTGCCGATTCCGATGTGGAGCATCTCGCACACATTCAGCACCAGACAAAGGCAGCTCACCACATACATGATGAGGAGGAAGATTGTTTTCTCTGTGGGCCTGGAGATGAAGCAGTCCACCCTGTGTGGACAGGGGATCCTGTTGCATACATACGATGGACTAACTCGAAAGCCGTAGAGGAGATACTGTCCGGCGAGGAAAGCGATTTCAAAAATAGCTCTGGACATGAGCTGCAGCACATAGATTCTCATCAGGCCTTCCTGCATTATCCTTCGGCGGCCGTCGTGTTTCGGCGGATCTTTGCCTAAGCTGGTCATCGGTTCGGGCTTGGCCTCTTGCTCCCCCAGCGGATCCTCGTAGATCATGGGCTCAGCATCGTCATCTTCCTCCTCCTCCAAGACATCTTCCAGATGGTGGCCCTCCCTCCATCTGGAGTGAGGAGTGTGCTTCTTGCGGAGCCTCTGGCGCTTCCTGCGATCCTCCTCTGTGGTTCGGGCTATCTTGTGGATAGCGTAGCCCATGTACATGATGGAGGGAGTGGAGATCATGATGATCTGGAAGACCCAGAAGCGGACGTGCGAGAGAGGGGCGAACGCATCGTAGCAGACGTTGTCGCAGCCCGGCTGCTTGGTGTTGCAGGTGAACTTGGTCTGCTCGTCCGAGTAGATGGACTCGCCTCCGACGGCCGTGAGCACGATGCGGAAGATGATGAGCACCGTCAGCCACACTTTCCCCACAAAGGTGGAGTGGTTGTGGATCTCTTCCAGGAGACGAGTGAGGAAGCTCCAGCTCATGTTGCTCTGAGAAGCTTGTCAACTAGAGTCTGTAAAGAGAAATTAAAGAATGGGTTTAGCAGCGACTCATTGAAGAACAGGATCGGACTGAGAATGCTAGTTTAAAAAAATGTTTTAACTAATTATTATGGTCCAAAAAAAATAATAGATATTAATTTGAATCAACTGTTTATTAACTCATCATTTATTTTATTTAACCTTTATTTAACTAGGTAAAAGTCCCATTGAGATCGAGATCTCATTTTTAAGGGCGACCTGGCCAAGAAGGCAGCAGCACACGTCGTTAAAAACAGCCATAAAATACAAAAACATGACATGAATAAAACCACAATACAAATTAAGTTAAAAAACTAAGTACAAAGAAAAAAATGGTCAAAAGCAGAGGCAGCTTCAATAGATTTTGGTTGTCTGTCCATTTGGAGACGTCGGAAAACATTAAAAGAAGAAAAGAAGAAGAAAAGTTCAGACAGTTTCAGTTCAGCCTGGAGATTGTTCCAGATGTTGATGGGGCGGCAAAACTGAACCTTTTTTTTTCCCCGATTCAGTCCGCACTCGTGGAACGTACAAGCAGTAAATAAGCAGTAAAGCGATAAATGATAATATCACATTGTAAAGAAATATTTTAATGTTACAGGATTGTTGTATGTCAAAGAAAACCCATAATAATAATAATAAATAATTCCCTGGAGCCAAGTGAAATTTTAAAATGTATTATATTTGACCCCTAATTATGTGTGAAAAAAATATTAAAGGACCTACAGTTTAATATGGACTTTGCGAATGTAGCAAACATCATCTGAAGACGGAGACTCATTTTCCACTCATTCGGCAGCCAAACACGACACAATAGCTTGTGTTGATTTGTGTCAGTGAGTCGGGTGATGTCATCCAGTCATCTAAACACACATCACGCAGTACTTCTAATATTTCCTTCTAACAGATTGAAATAGTTTACGAAAGGATTGAAGTGTCAAAGTCAAGAGAGAAAAAAAAAAGAGGAAAAAAACACAAACATCAGCTTGGAGGAAAAAAAAAAACACTCTGGCAAGTACGAGCGCTTTGATCATTGCTTTGACCGCGCCGAACACTGCAAGAGGGGGAAAGGGCCGAAAGCGACAGTGGCCTGAGTTTAAGGAAAGCTCCCTCTGGTACGACACTGCGGTCCACTCAGAGAGCCACTCCAGAACCACACTGTACTCTCCTCCGTGACAGATGCCACCTCACAGTGTCAGTGTCATCCTCGGACCGTGTGAGGCGATTGAGGCCGCGACGAGGTCACAGCGTAGCGCTTCTGTCCCTTCAGTCATGGGGAGGGGAGAGGGTGGGGGGGCAGAGCAGCACAACTCATGTTGATTTCATGACTGCGGCACTGTGTTCCCCGGCGTGGGATGTGCCGTCTCCCGCGTCCATCTGAGGGAACAGGAGAGGCTTGTTGCGCTGCCTCCCCCCCCCCTCCCCCTCTGATCCAGCACTGCTGACGCCGGGGCGAGGTACGGCCTCGCTGACAGATGGCACCTATAGTGGGCGACCGGCGTCTGCCCCAGGACGGCGTGACAGGAGGGCCGCCGCCACGCCGATGGGGTTCATAAGTTCATGAGGAATCTGTTGTGTCAATTTCACATCCTCACTTTGATTTGTGGTGAAGATTGTTTTGTTGATTTTTTGCTGCCTTGTCTATTTTTTCGTGGTTGACGCGGTTGCCGAATTAACATGTCTCGCCTGAAAATAGAGTTGCCTGTTTAATAAAAAAATATTTCGATTTTACTTGATAACGTAGCAGTGTGAATGCAGCAAAGACCATGTTTGGGTTCAGGCATTTTTGCTTGATATGTAATAGTTGAGTTCTCATACAAAGCAGCTCGCTCCATTTTAAATTCAGGATATTTTTTAAATGCGTCAATCAAATCAAATATCAAATGTTTCAGTATCTTTGCTCATCAAATCTGACACTATAGCTACGGATGTATCCTAGTTACACAAAATATGAACATTTTATGATAATTAAAATCCACAATATGGAATGACAAATAGGTGTGTGAGCAAGGTTAATAAATTCTGTAGTTTAAACAAATACGAGGCCAATATATTTAAAATGAATAAGCATGCAACATATTGTATTGTGTTGGGTGAATAGCTTTTTGCATCATTGATTCATTTGTTTCAGAAAAATATTTATTTTGCAATGGAATGAAACGATCTTTCAGGAGGGCGAATTCACACACAGGATCCCACACAACGAGAATTCATAAATGACGCGACATGATCATTTTACAGAAGCTACACATGCAGTTTCTTTAAGGCAAATAACTGAAACAACCCACCTTGAAAAGTTGTACATGCATTTCCCATCCTGAAGGTGTCTTTTGCCCTCTCTAGATATCTCCTGCACAGTCTGATCCGTTGCATATCACTTCCATCTTAATGTCCTGGTCTTTTCCGTCTTATTGATAACTTCCAGAATGGCCAAAAATAAATAAAACCAACGATTGACTGATAGTTTCTACTTTCTTTTCCGTTCTTCCCCCCTCTGTGAAGAAGTGAGGTCTCGCCGCTGTGAATGCCTCACATTCTGGCTTGCGTCTGGTTTCTATTACACCAGCCTTCTCCTCGAGAAGGAAGTACAAAGAACGGAGAGGGAGAAAACAAAAAAAAACAGTCCACCTTTGGCAAGTGACCCTGATCCGAGGGTTCGGACTTGAGGATATCGCACAGATGGGGAAGAAAACCCAGCTGAGGCAGCGCGTTGAACCGCAACACACTCGGCCGCCCCCTAAACCCCTTTGTGTCACGTTTGTAACACAGATGATGAAGGTCTTTCCCTCTCCTCTCTCTTTCCGTCTCTCCCACTTTTCTGCCCTCTCTCCCCCTCTTTCTCTCTCCCTCTCTCTCTCTCCCCCTCTCTCCCTCCCTTTGCATCTCCATCAATGTATCTCAGCTTCTTGCAGGTCGGTGTCCACGTGCCCTCCAACCCTTTTTTACAGCAGCAGCAGTGTCTCACTCAGACAGAGGGTCACGTGTCGCGGCGCACACATTTAAAAACGCTAAAAGGTGAATTCCTCCACACCGCGCACGCGCTTCCTGCAAAGAACACGCGCACACACACACACACACACACACACACGGTAAATGCAAATAAGCCACCTCTGTGTTATCAGTCAATTACATAACACTTTACAGTGGGTGTCCCTTGTGAGGAAACAGCCCCTTGGAGACAAAGACGGGGAGTTTGAGGACACACAAAGTGTCAGAGAGACAAAAGCCACCTGGCCTGGAGTGCAGATCCGCTAGAATGTAACCAGCAGGTACGCTCCGTCATATCCAGTGTCATAATATTTAGGTCCTCCGTCCAGGCAGATGGCCAGATAACAGAGCAGTGGACAGGTCGCACTCTGCGCCGCCGCAACGCGTCTTTTCCAACCCAATGTTTACACTCTCGAGCTTCCACAGCTCGAGGCGTGAGATGGATTTTTCTCACACGAGGGCGAGAGCGGCTGCAAGTCTCTCCCCTGCACACAAGAGCACGCACGCGCACACGCACAGGCCACAGGTTCCTTTCCTTAAGTCGGAAATGACACGGCAAAGTACAGATGAGCCGGTGATGGATGCAGGAGTGGAATAAAGGAATTGCTCCATCTCCTCCGCTGCGTGTGCCAGAACCCTGCTGTGAAGTTTGGGAAGGGATCAAAAGTCAACCGCTGTTAATAAAGGACAGATAAACGGGTTGCGGCCTGCCATGTGTTAATGAAACGTGCCTGCTCACTGTCACAGTGGCCGTATTATTATAACGCTGCTTTCACAAGGCCCTCAATAATCCTCAATTAGCAGTAACTCACAGCATCACAGCGGCCACCGTTAAACCTTCAGCTCGGTTCCTCGGATGATGAAACATCCAAGAGGTTATAAAGATGATACACTGCTATTGGCTCCGCAGCAGACGCGGCTGCAGTGGGACGTGAGGCGCGCGCCGGCGTATGAGAAGTCTTTGCATCTGAAATCTCATTCTGTTTGAGCGGTTCTCGGTGGGAAGAAGGCTCGGAGAGAGCCGGCCACCCGCGGGGGGGCGCCTCGCCTTCGGGGCCCCCCTCTCCGACTGACTGAGGAGATGTGGCGTAGCGAGCACCCCTGGTGCAGCACTGGACACGAGAAGACAGGGGATGCTGCTGGAACGAGGAGAGCATTTGGGATCTGGACATGTGCCGTCCCCGAGGGACGGATAAGCACGTGTTTTTAAGTAGCAGCGCATTCCTCTGCATCCAAAATCTTCCCTTCGTCCAAAAGACCCACATGGCCCATGAGAAGGTTGTTAAGTGAACATTTAACTAATTCGTCCATTCGAGTTTATGTTTCTCACTGAACCTAAACTACAGATATATTTAAATAATCTTCTTCATTGACAGACTTGTATTTTATCCAGTTAAGATGGATCTTTAATAGGTGATGTATCTGAATAGATATTTATCTTTACTAAACTCTGCCATATTCTCTTTTAACTGTTGTTTCTCATCAGAACCTCAAGTTTTCACCTTAACTGTAATTAGTAATAAAATATGTAGGACACCTACATTTTCAATATCTTGCTCTATTATAAACGTCCTTTATTTAAGTGTTCACGAAGCCAGACAGTCTATTTAAAATACTGTATATTTGTGGGAAAAGGGAATTTTAAAACAATGGATTTTTAATAATAAATTATTCTTTCATTTGAATTGCACACGGTTGCTTCCAACACCGACAAATGTGCACAAATATATACAGTCAAAACAATGAGTGTTTAGTTTTGAATGTGTCATCTGTTTGTCCTCTGACAAGTCGGGCTGTTCTAGCTTTGGGACGTTGATAAATATTGATTGGACGGCCCGGAGTATTCGCCTGTGAGACATTGTGTGACATTGCTCCTGTCACACGGCTCGGGCGTCATGCGACAGCCAAACGAGGATGTTTAAATATTCATCAGGTTGTGATTATAATTAGTGTTAAACGTCAAATAGAGCAAATAGAGCATCAGAACGGAGCGATGCTTGTTGTTTCTCCTTTGGGAGGTCAGCGGGAGCTGTGAGGGTTTTGCAGCTGTAGCCGAGTGCTGCAGTGGGCGACGCATCAGGGAGGAGTGAACATCTCCACAGATCTCCTTGGCCGCCGCCAATGTCACCCGCAAGAGTTTTCTCCAACACGTAGTCGCCGGGTAAAGTTGATGCGAGCAGACTGGGGGGCTGTGGAGGTCCGCGTTTATGTAACAGATCAAGCTGCACCATGTGACTCGGACGCCCCCCACCCATCCTCCCCTTTGGAGAAAAGAGTGACACAAGACACCAGAGCAAAAACATGCAACTTGGCGCTTAGACTCCTCCTCTCCTCCCTCCTCTCCCCCCTCCACCCCCCATCTCTCCCACAACTATCATTAAACTGCTCTAACCAGGCTGTGTGTGTGTGTGTGTGTGTGTGTGTGGGGGGGGGGTTATCCCATAGGCAGCCTGAGAGTGGTGGCAGTCCCATCTCATTTGTTCACTTTTCTCCCAGTTTCTCAGCCGAGCATATCCTACCCCCGGGGTGAGTGCGTCCCGTGCCAGTTTTACTAAGGCTGGACTCCACTGAAGCGACTGAGATGAAAAGCCTTGAGGTGGATGCCAACAACTTCCCTCAGCCGGGCCTCCGCCGCCTCTCGCACACGAGCAAAAAGCAACGCGCATTAATCCAAATGAGGCCCGACACCGACTGTGCAATTATACAGGGAAGCAACTTACTGGGTGGGTATTTGTGAGCGGGTAGCAGGAATGAAGTGTCGGATGTTCAGGCGTGAAAGGCCGTCTTCGTTTTTACGCTAAAAACACTGAGGCTCGTTAAAAAATGCAGGTCAAACTATTCGAAGCATTTGAGGAAGTCACAATGTTTTGCAGTATTTGAATGCGGGAAGCTGTAAAGTCTCTCCGTTTTGGGCCTCGGAAGAAGGTTCCAATGATTTTACTGCACTGACGTCGTGAAATCCAAAGTTTACCAAAAAAAAAAGAAGAGTGCTGACATCAAGAGCTAAAAAAAGAATATTTTCCGTTCATGTTCACATAGTCGGAGGTGGGAGGTAAGGAAGCCTCACTCTTGTTTCACCCATTAGAAATTTGTGTAATTCACAAACACAGCTGAGTTTCCCTCGTTTTGTGAAAACTGCGTGCGACTTCATAGAAAAGTAGCAAAACACTGGAAAAGAATTAAAAACCAGTTGTCACGATACACGATGGACGTTGGGTGTCTTGCTGGCGTCAACTAATTAATAAAAGTGATTAAGTGGAGAAAATTAAAAACCAAAACGCTACTTGTTGTACATGTTCCAATGATAAAGTAGATCATTAGCAGAGCACAATATCTCAATGTGACTGAAGATGTTATGTATATTTGACACATCGGTCAGTACAACGTATCCAGTTCACAGGACTTTTCCTTAATTGTCTAATTCCCCTTTTCCAATTTTACTTTTAAACCCGCTGATGAAGGTTTCCATCAGGGCATTCAAAATTTAACACGTCCACAACCCGTCCAAACAAACGAAATAACAACGCTTTGCTTGCAGAGCTCCAGGGTGTTAATCTTTGACATTATCTTGTCTTAACTGGCCATGTCAAGGGCTGATCCGGGGGAAGGCCCAAAGGGAGCAGCAGACCTACTCAGGGTCATTTGGACTACCAGAGACGTGTTTACTGCAGCCCCTTCCTCCCAGATGCCTCCGTGCCGTTGTCCTTCTCCAACTCAGTGAACTCCCGGAAGCGAGGCCGCAGGAGTCCGCTAATAACAGCAGGATGCACAATCCCCCGCGTGCACTCGGGCGAAACGAAAAGAGAGGGAGAGACGTACGTCGCGCGCGTCCGGTGTGGCGGGGCGAGTGAATAGGTGCGTTTTAAAGCTCGGCGATAAGAAAAAGGCAATCTGAGGAGCGAAAGGCCCTTCGCTCAAGGTAACAGATAGGGAGACATATTCGTCTTCAAAGTTAATCATTGAACGGGAATCATTTTCTATTTCACTAAATATAAAAAAAGAGCAATCGTACATGTGTTTGCTTTGAAAGCCCAAACGTAACTTATCTACTTTTCTTAGACGGTAGACGTTTTCATCCACTAGATGGCAATCACGTATGTGGCTGCAGCACAGACTCCTCAGTATATTCCGATACATTTTGGAGAACAATTTGCCCTTTTAAATCACTCCCATCGGGGTCGATGACCTGCCAATTTCTCTTTCCTCTGACCTTGAACATGGACAACGTTTGGGAGCATTGACCCATTTGACACAGAGTAACTTTTGGTGGAAATCAACATCAGATGAATCCTTTTTTACTTTTGACTGTTCTCTTTACTACATTGAAGGGTCGAGTTACAGGCATTTTACTCACCCAATCCTGGTGACTGAGGAGAGTAAAAATACCAAGCGCAGTTCCCATGGAGGCTTCAACAAAACGAGGAGGGTTGTTTATTGAGCCACGCTTGCATTGTTTTAAGCTTTGCCATCTGCTTTCCTGCTTTCCTGTTAAACTTCCTCTATCACTGGAATGCCTTTTTTTCAAACGACTTATGTAGACTTATGTACACATAGTATAGTCCTTTTATATATATATAGAGACAGCACCATCTGTACATTTCTTTTCACTTAGCCGTTCATCAAGAGGTGAATGAGAACAGCTCGTTTCAGGTTTGTTCACTTAGTCGGGGAGCGTTAAGACAACAGCTCGCTGCGTGTCATCTGGAGATCAGGAGTGTGCAACGGAAAAGCTTCAAACCAAAAACAATTTGACACTAATGGGTGGATGATTTCTCAATGACGGAGAGAGTCACACAAATTTCTACGGAACATTTGTCAAAACAAAACGCTGACACGATATGAGACAACAGCACAAAAGGTCAAACCTCTAGACATAGTTAAATAGAAATTGATAAGCTGACATTGAGGCACTAAAGTAACAAGCAAAGCCACATATTTTCTGCCACTTCTATTTCTCCAGTTAAATTCAAAAGGCCGTTAACTTTTGCCACCCGATCTGCACAACACGAACAGCCAAATCCCCGACACGTGAACGCTGTCCCTACCTGTCCAATGCGGGTGAAGCGGGAGCTTATTCTACGCTTCATAATAGGTCATCTTAGGCCGGTGTCCAGAGGCATCGTTTCACTGCTCAGGCTCTGAAGCAGGATGAGAGTGACAATGGGTCATTTTGCTCCCAAACCCCTCACCACCAAGTACAGGCGGGACACTCAGGAGACCAGCATCCTGCCAAAGGCTCCATTGTTCCCCAGACTGTGCGCCTCCACTGCCATGACCCCTGACCTTTCATTTGTTTCATTCAGGATGACTCCTGTCACTCCAATCATTCATGCAGCGCCGACTGGCCACAGTATTTTGACACTACTTTCTTCCCTTTATGTTTGAAATAACTAAGACTATATTTCTAACCTATAGGATGGATTTTCTTTTCATTCAGATTCTTTTAATGCCACCATAAAGGTTTCTATCCGTTAACTTTTCATCCGGGACCTTCAATCTTCATTGTTTGAATACACTTTAGTTTTTGACCAAATTCCTGCTAAATCAAAGACACTTACAGCCTGAGCTAATCATGCTAATTCTAATGAGCGGATGTTAGCTTACAAAATAGCGCTGCAGTGAAAATGCTCAAATGAGGTTCTTACTGAGCTTGAGACCTTGGAAAACCACCTCCCTGAGCGAGTCTCTCGTGACTCGTCGTAAATTCGGCACAGGAAGTAATTATTGTAATTATTGATTCCAAAAGGCCGTTTGAAATGCAGACTGCAAATTGCACACGGCTGTTAGGTTCCTCATCCACATTTAACATCCATCTGAGCCTGTATTCCCACAGCAATACTGTTCTTTTTCTAACGTATACTGTTGTTATCAGACATTGGAGATGACACAGAAGTTCAGCGTAAGGAATGCATTAGTAAGTAGTACCAGATGTGGTCACTAGTCTACTTCTGTGTGTAAGTGCATCTTTTACAGCAACAAACACCAATGTTGTAAAGGCACGGATCTTTTTTCAACAGAGCAGTTTTTTGTTTCTCTAAATTATCGATTATTTTGCTGTTGTGAAAGCCCTTCTTGCACCACTAGAGGAACATGTAGTGCAGTAGCTTCCTAACAATGTGTGAATCTAAATTTTGATGTGAGACAATGGCCTCAGATCCCAAATTTAAAAAGGTAGAAATTATTATTATTAACTATTGCACTTATTGAATTCTGAGTTTATTCTCAATTAAGTTATGAGTTAAACGTATGTCTCCTAAATGAGGTCCACGGTTAAGTGAATGCATTTGTAAACTGAAACTAAAAAAACAAACATTTTTAAGGACTTGCCTCATCTTCCCAGACGTCCTGCCCACCTCATATTTCCAGGAACTATGATGCGAAATGTGTTTGTGAGACCTAAGACGTGACGTCATTGACGTACAACTTACAACAGCATTTCTGTTTCCTGGTACGGAACATTCCGTTATGGATCCAGGATGGTTTCTGTATAAATGGATAAGAAATGAAACAAGTAGTGCACTGCCTGTACTACTCATCTGGTCACAGAAGGACGTGTTCTGTTTCTTTTGGTCAAATAAAACTTTATTACAGATTGATAAGTGATTAAGAACAATGAAGCATTAGCAACACATTTACAAGCTTGGCCTTAAACCTGACCGTGACCTTCTATTGGGTAGAAGGTCACGGTCAACCACCTGCGTCTGCAGATCGATAACAGCGACACTTAAACGTACACGTCATGTCATCCGAAATACTGAAAATACGGCAATATTAACAAATAACGGCATCTCTCTATTTTACAACATTTTGGATTCACCCCTCATAGTCATTCTTTCACTGTCATCACATTTTTATGTTACAAGGATTTCTGAATTGTATCAGTTGTGATAGCATCTGTACTCTGATTTACAAGCAGAATGGAGAGCGAGAGATAATTATAATAATAATAATAATAAGACTACAATTTATAGAAAACAGTATTGTGTTACAGTATCTATTACACTTGGAGGGAATCAGTTAGCTATTGCAAAAAGGCATTTTAAAACCGCGTCCATAGTGAGTTCATCACATCGTTGATATGAACACTTTACTGTTGAATCACATGCGTCTAATAAAGCTTCTAGAAAAGGCAAATCACAGCGATCGCTTGGCTTAATATCGGAGCCTGTATCGGAACTCAACGTCCGTCTGGGGTTGCATCGACCCGAAACCCCATCGGGTGAAGTCAATTTCAGGTATCTTCACCTCGGGATCCTTCAGCTCAAACTCAAAATAAACCAGCATGAGGAAAACAAACTGTTTCAGCTCGTTGGTGGCAAAGAAGCGGCCGGGGCACATGGAGACCCCGGCGCCCCAGGGCATGTTGTAGTACTTCACCCTCTTCCCCGCTTTGTAAAAATCGGTTTTCTTGCTCCCGTCGGGATTGAGAAAGCGGTTGTATCTGAAAGAGTGCGGCTCGGGGTGGATCTCCGGGTCGATGTGAACGGCGACGTACGGAAAGACGGCCATCCTGTCGCCCTTGCGTATGAAGTATTCCCTCCCGTCGGCCATCTTGAGCGTCATGTCCTCCAGCACGGCTCTGGTGAGGAGGGGCGCGGCGGTGAGGCGGAGGGTCTCCTCCACGGCGCTGTCCAGGACCGGGGTTCTCGTCAGCATCTCGCGGGTCAGGGCGATTATAGGGCCGCCGCGCTTGACTTCCTGCCCGAACTCCTTCAGAACCTTGTCGACCTCTTCCTTCACCGCTTTCATGGCCTCCGGGTGTTTCATGAGGAAGAGGAGCAGCCAGAACGACGACGGCCCCGTGTTGCCCTGGGAGGCCCAGAGAAGCACAAACATGTACCTGTCTATCATCGAGCCCTCCACTCCCATCTCCTCTTTGGCCTGCTGGATGTCCCAAACCCAGCCGCTGATGTTGTCTTTGGCCTTCATCCTCTGCACAGACAGCTTGTCCCAGAAGAATCTCATCAGCCGCTCTGCTTCCATCTTTTTCCCCGGCGTCAGGACCCCGTAAGCCAGGTTGGGGAAGAGTTGATCATATTTACGGAACTCGTGGAATAAGACTTCTGATTCAGCTCTGTCTTTCTCCTTGGCTTTCTCCTCGCTCCCGTCTGACTCGTGTGGCTGGTTGCCATACAGAGACAAGTAGCCGGCCCGGAAGACAATATTGTAACTGTACTTGAACAGCCCGTCCTCGATCCAGCTGCTTTGGTCCGTCGCAGAGCCGATGTTGTGCAACATGAGGTTCTGCAGGTTCCCCATCATGGCTTGCGTCATCAGTTCCAGGCCGTCCCCCTTGAGGTGCTTGTTGCTGGACAACTGGAGGATAGTATGTTCGTCCTCGAGGGCGGCGTAGCCGAAGACTTTGCGCACCAGCTGCACGGCGAACTTCCTGAAGTCCAGCTTCTCTCGGCTCTCCTTAACAAGCGACCCGAACGACAGGGGGTCCTGAAGGAACGTGATGTAGAAGCCTCCCAGCTGAATTGTGAACACATCGCCGTGCTTTCGCTTCATCCTCTCTAAGAACTTCAGCGTGTTCCTTCTGAACTCCAGGACGTGACCCAGCCAGGGAATGAGGCCCTTATCCAAAGGGGGTTCTCCGGGTCGCCGCTGACGAAACACCCCGAGAAGGTACATCGCTCCGAGCAGGGCGGCGAGGAAGCCCAGGACGATCGGCAGCAGCAGTCCCATGTTTGGTTTGTCTGACGGCCACGCGGGGGTTTGGAGTCAACATTCACCCTCAGCGTGATACTTAAGCACGTGTTTGCTCCTCCCTCCCAATGTGGGCCTGGTCAAAGCATCATGAGAATGGGTTACTCATTTCCTTTCTCTTTTACAAGGGTGGAAGGGGAGATCAGAAACAGGAGAACACTTTTGCAGTGGAGCATCAATGGACCAAGAACCAGACTTTCTAAATTAAACCGAAGCTATTTCACCGACACGCCATGTTATGGGCACATTTTTTGCAAAGTTAAATGAAGCAATGGTCATGAGTCACGAATAGTTGTAATCAGTAAAAAACAATTAAAGACTCAAGGGAAGAGAAAACTTACTTCCTAGCACAATTTAATGAACCATTTTAGGTAAGTTTGTTCCATATGTATTAAATGTGTATTAAAAGGGAATTTACGATAACACACACTTCTTCTTCTTTAAATAATGTCTACGTGTAAATTATGATGCTTAGAAGGATGTAAACAATAAGGAGCGAGCCTTATCACAATGTTTATTTGTAAAAAAAAGAAGAAGGGCTCAAGTAGTTTTCATTACCTCACAATTATTGTTATTAAATTTGTTTTAGAACTTTTTTGTGAGGGCCCAAGAAGGTATTGTCACATGTTGATGAGACATATGAGATAATGTCAAATTACTGTGGTTGCAGATTAAAAACATTGCTCCACAACCCACATCCGCTGTTCAGATCACAGGAATTGTGAGTGTAACCCTTACTCTGGCTACAGTTTGTATTGACTAAATGTTGCAATCCCTTGTTTCATTGTATGCATCTTGCATCATTAAAAAAGACAACAACAAAAATTCCGTAATGCAGATATTGTTCATTAAAGGCAAACAGAACATTTTTTTATTCTGGGTTTAAAGGAGCCGAGGGGACTCAGCAGACCTGCAACTTTCTAGGACTTTTTTTCCTGATAAGTGCAGATATGTGGAGTATTGACCCTGGTAATAGAACACACGCCAGTCCCAGACGACCTGAGGGTTCATGGCAGTTCATTAGGTATCAGCAGATTAGAAGTGTACTTTGCCTCTGAAACACCCAGTGCTTTATAAACCAACAGCAGGTTGTGATGAGAGAGACAGACCTGAGAAGTGATTCACTTCCCTGTCACAGTGAGGACTCGAGCTGCAGCGATGGTAAACGCAGGCTGGAGGATATCCTGCATTTCAATGCCACCTCAAGACATCCTTAGACCCCGGCTTCATAAAGCCTGTGATTATGTGGCCGTATAAAAGAGGAAACGTCATTAAACCTTAATTACAGGGTTTTGTTCACACTGTACATCTATGACACTGATAATAGTTGCCCTTGGCTTTCTGGTGGCTCTCACTTGCCAGATTACAAATGTGGGACATTTTAAAACTGAGTGACTAAAGATAGCAAAGATTTACATTGTGGACATAAAGTATCTGTTTCAGTATCCAATCAACCACTTTTTTGAAAAGTACAAATACAACCTAAATTATAACTTTTTAACACAATAACAAGTTGTGTTAAACATAATGTCCATGTTTGCCAGGTATCCAAAGTCTGCTGTGTGTTGATCCTGCATCATAGTGGACAGGTAGCGCCGCCTGCTGAAATCTCAACATTGAAAAAAACAGCTGCAGCAACAGGACGATCAGTCAGAGATAATACATTTTTAATTCCAAAAAGGAAAAGCTTCAGTAGAAGGATTTTATCCAGCAACTCATTCTAAGGTGTGCCGGTCTGAAACGTTAACTAACTTATTCGACACATCTAAAGCCATGTAACTAAGTATTTATGTCGGTTGGAGGTTGCTCATAATGAGCGGAAAACTTTTTAGTCGTCATTACATGATGCATTTGCTGCAACACTGGTTTCTAATAAAGTCCCAATATGGGTGAAAGTTAGAAGCAGACACAAATTAATCATTCAAGGTCTCACTTCGTTACGAGTAAACTCATTCACCACTGGGTGGAGACGTTTTCTTTATTAATACCATGAGTGCTGCTTCTCGGCCTAGACTGAAGCAGTTTCATTGGTTTCATTTGGAACAGCATGTAATTCCCTTGTTTGTACTCTGGACAAGGCAAAGTCACGTGCATTAGTCACAAAAAAACCCCCAAAAAGACACGTGATGTAACAATCATTTTTAAAAATGACTTCTTCAACAAAGAAATATGAAACATGTGTTGGATTAGCAGAGAATACAGTGTGAGCAACGACACTACCAGACAGGAACATACATATATAATGTGTTTATTCAATTACATTCTTCAAGGTTGTTTGCTAGATAAGTGATGGTGATTTGCAGAACTCCCTCCTGCCCACGAGGGCCTGGGACAAGATCAGTGGGGCCTGATAGTCTATAATTGAATCAAGGAAATGCCACATGCTCTTTAGGCCATCAAAGCTGTTTTTGATTTTTTCACAAGAGGGAACACAAAGCAGAAGCTTTTGAGGTGCATGGTTAGTTAAGATACAAAAGATTTATTTAATTACAAATTTGAAATAGCCCATTGGTTTCAGTTGATCCTGTTGCCTCAGACTTAGGTGTAATTATTAGCAGAAGTAGACCCAGCACGTATTTATGTTGTATATGTTATTACAAGGCCAAGAAAATATTCACGTTAGTAAAAGAAAGTGCACCACTTTGGTGGTTAATTTGACTATTTCCAGATACAATTGGAAGTTGTTAGATTTGAGAAAGACTAGTTTTGTCATTACATTACATACATGAGGAAGATGCTCCACATTTTGAAGCTTAAATTGTATACAGTTTAGTTTTTGTAAAGATACAAACAGACAGACCGATGATCCAGTAATCCACGGTGTAAGTGGATAATATTGATTTCACCGTAGAAAAGTCCATCTTTTACTATTTTATTGTATTTCAATTTTGATGATTTTCTTACAGTAATGGAACATTCGTTATGCCAGCAAGGTAAAACTGTGTCGTGGGTGGGCACACTGAGTAACCTTTTTATTGTTACTGTACACCGAACAGGTTGCAGCACGTTGCTCAGACGTGCAGCCTCTCTCGTCTCGACGACTATCACGAGCAGTTCAACGTGTTGATTCAGAGATCAACACGCTGATCAAGAGGATCCACCTCCACCTACACCCAAGTTCGTTTAAATACCAGTAAAGGGCAGGGGTGGATACACGTGGGTGTTGTAAAAATAGGCACTTTAACACTGGCCATTGAAGAGACATTCGTTTTTGAGTCTCACCTGAAGATAAATTAAATGGGATATTTATACCTAAAATATGATGATCTTGATCGGTGTGATACACTTTCTTTGTTGCGTTACTACCCACCTTTATAGGACGGGAGGGAATCATAGATCCGTTTCACTGCCCTTGATTGTGTGAGGACAACTGGTGCTGCGTTCACGATACATCGGATTTATAACAACCATCAATCTGTTGCCATAAGGTTACATCGAAACCGAATCGGGTGCCCATTTTTTCTGCCTGAGCGAGCATTATGTTATGTAATGTTGGGCCAAGTGCATTATTACAAAGCCTTACATAGAACATTTCTTGAGAATGTGAACTGAGAAGGGCGTTTACTATTTGGAAGCTATTACAAGCCCGGACGTTTCCATGTTTACCATTTTTCAACGACAACGTGAATTTGAAACCATCGCGAGAACTGCATGACGTCATTGCTCCGCGCATTCGCCGTTGCGTAACGAAGCCGGTCCCCCACTTCCTGTCAACGCAGATGCGACCTGAGGCTCCAAAGGCTCCCCGAAACCTGTCTGGATAATTACTCTGCCGACGGTTCAAATAGCGACAAACTCCTCAAACAAGTAAGACTAATTTCAGCCGACTGTTTAATGAAGGTTTTATCCAATCTTACAATGTTGTCCTCGCTCACTTTTTGACGTAACGTCAACTCTTATTTTGCGGGTTTCTGTTGTTTAGCCTTATTATATCAAAATAATGCGACGGCACAAGCCATAACTTAGTATTATTCGATAGTGTTTCTATGGATGGAAGGTAACGTGGAGTTGGTTAGGCCTTCAAACGGAAGTGTCTTACCAACTGCCCTTCACCAGTAACCTCTGAGCAGCTCATAATCAAATATAGCATACATCCAAATTTTAAATAGTTTTGTATTTCGCAGGCTAAAACAGAGCTTGTCCAAAAACCGTCGTTCAAATCTGGAGCCAGTATTTAATTATGGATGTTATAAAGGAGGCGTGACCCTAAACCGAATTTGCGATGCTGTCTTTCTTTAACAAGAATGATTTTCTCTTCTCTTTTAGTCAAGATGTCTACCGACGAGGACAATGATTCCAAGTTCATGCGAAAAGCGAAGGAGAATCCATTCGTCCCGTTGGGTGAGTACATATTGCACCTTGATAGTTTCGTTATGCAAAAAAAGTCCCATTGTGGGATTAAACGTTTCGACTCCGTCTTTCTTTTAGTGATTTATCCATGTAACGTGATGTGTAACTTGTTGCTCCCTGCAGGAATGGCTGGATTCTTTGCCATCGTGGGGTACAGACTGATGAAGATGAAAAATCGGGGAGACACAAAAATGTCAGTTCACCTGATCCACATGCGCGTTGCTGCTCAAGGCTTTGTGGTTGGAGCCATGACTGTTGGTGGGTTGCTTGAATCAGCGTTGTTCTTATTAGATCTTAGTTGCATCGTTTTAGTTCTATTTTTTTTTTTTTTTTAGTGGCACGCTTTAGAAACAAAACTACCATGTCATTAAAAAGTATAGGAGTAACCGTTACATTATATCAATATATGGGTCTTTGTGTAACTTATCCCTTGTATCTGTGTTTTTAGGGGTCCTGTATTCAATGTACAAAGAATATTATGTGAAGCCCAGAGAAGAACAGAAAGCACTGGCAGAGAAGTGAACACTCCGACGGTGACATTTTTATGCCTTTTAATATTACCTCATCAAGGTGTGTAAAATGCTTATGTCCTTCAGAATAACTTATTGATTACACTTATCCTCCAGCTAGTGTGCTCGATCTAAACTTGTACTGAGTAGGAGGTGTATTGATCTCATCTATCTTAGCAGTGGTTTCTCTGACTGTTTGATGATGTTAACCCGGTGGCTTTGATCGCTGAGTGGAAAGATCTCACAACGAACGGATTTGTTGATGTCCTTGTAAAACCAGCAAAATTGTAGCGATCATTTAAAAACGGTTTCAATAGGCCAAGTCTAGATTTGAAAATAAACACCGTTGGCAGCTGATCTTTAATTTTGTATTTATTTTATCGTGTCACACCATCGACATATTTTCTAATTCAAGCATTTTTCCCAAATGGAAAAGGCCATTTAAAGGGCATACAAGGTCATTAGGGCTAGGTTATGAAAGACTTTGACAACATTTAGTCTAGACAAAGCCAATTCCATCATAATTTAAACAACATCAACACAATTTATTCCTTAATTTACTGCAACATCAGATTATGGGGCAACTGCAAAAGGAATACAAATGATAAAACAAATCCACAAAGGTCTCATTTATTTATTTTATTCAACTGCCTTTATAAATGTTTTTTTTCTTCACATTTCTATTATAATGTTGTGATACACAGGGGTCCACTACAATTATTCATGAGACATACGGGTCAAGTCCAGGTACATCTATATATGGCGCACTAACCTTCAAAATATTATATAGGCTTCCTTGTGGTATGCTTAAAGATTCCATGTTAGGCTATTCACAAAGTAGAGTTTTTAATGCTGTGTCCAAATACAGAACAGGTTCGTTTTGAAAGATTCTTTGTATTGATTTATTTTGCAAAAATAAAAGTCCCGGTTCAAAAATTCTGTTGTTGCATGTTTTCAAACCTCATTGCATGTTTTGGACTGTTAGCTTATTCATAACAAATGTGATCGTATCAATGGCAGTTATGTATGTGCACATAGCAAAATATAATGCAGCGTATGAGTAGTTGACTGTTATTAAAAAACACATCAGTACAACACAGCAACCTACGGTCAAGTTTTAACAGGAAATGCATCAAATCAGCCGAAGGCAGCAAGATGCTCCAAAATGCTGTGTCATTGTGACTTAGTGACTTAACATTCCTTGAGTGCTGTTGGTCCAACTGCTAATAATCAGATTACAGCGTGTTTCTATCTGCACAGAATGTAACCGGCGAGCATTGACATCACATGCCGATTTAGTCACAATAACACCTGAGGAAGGAGGTGTGAAACCATGATGAAGCTATTCAGTTTTTACCTCCAGGGTCATGGGATGAATGATATTTCACTTTCCTGTTTTTAACTGAGGACCTAACAAGGATGTTTCTTTCAACATGATAAAGCAATGTCTCCCAATTTGCTAAAACAAAGTAGATGTACTGTCCTTTGTATTTTGCATTCATCATTGAGATCCAGTTTGTTTACTTTTGGCAGTTTCATAAAAGCTGCTTTATCGCCCTCTGGTTGCCATGTCTTACGCTGCTCAATAATAAACACTCGACTAGTTTTCTTTTCCCCCCATATGATGAATACAATTATACTAGCACTTTAAGAAGGCTCTCTGGCAAAGATTTTGAGCCCTTTCGCCTAATTTTCTCAGTTTACTGGAGTAAACAAAACAAGTTATAATTTACTTTTTACCCGTGGTCTCACATCCAAAACAACTAAACAGCAAAGCCGAATGGATTTAATGAGCAATTTGGTAACTTTAGGTTTAGCAAGGGAGGATTCTTCAATCTATTTGAGTCACTGAAAGTTAATCAACTGACCTCACAAACCTAGGAACCGACGGTGTCTCGATCTCGCGATATCTTGTTCGACGCGACTAGAGTACCGTTGCTATGGATACAGTAGCGTCGCAATCAAAGAGGAAGCTGCCGCGGCGTCTTCGCCCGCGTTACAAAACGATGCAGTGCAAAGCGGTCTGGAGATTGTTTACTCGGACTAGATGACAGGTGAGCTGATTTCTCGTCATACAAGCTGAACGTAACCTACTTTGTGCCTGTTTACATTCAGGGAAATGATTATAAACACAAAAGTTATCTCGCTAATTTATCCTCGCGTTAGCTTATTATTCGCTATCAAAACGGCGGTAGTCAGTTTGTGTCTGTTGATTCATGACATCATGTTATTTAGGTCTTCGATATTAACCCTTTGTATGACAGACGTGGACTTACAAGAATACCATGTTGCTTATTATTTCCAATAAGTTATTACACTTGATCAGCTGGAGGAAATATAAGTAAATATGTGGTTAAGATCGGGACGCTGGTTCAGTTAGCCCAGTGTTTATTTCCATTCTCGACAAACAAGTGTCAAAGAAACTGTAGGCTGTCACTTAACTGCAAATCAGTTCATCTGTGTCCATTATCTTACTATAACAAAAATTCCTGCACAATATTGCGTTAATATCGACATCCTCTGATTCATGCTATAGATCATAGATGATGGAGCAGGACGATGAACTGAATGAGTTGCGGCTTCAGTTCCAAGCGTTAGAAAAACAGCAGGAGAAAAGAAAACTGGAGAGGAAAAAGAAGAACGAAGCAGATTTGGAGGATTTGGATTTATCTAATCAAGGTATTCAGGCGGACCATCTTGAACACAGGTGAGGTTAAAATATATATTTTTATCCTTTGTGCCAGCTGGATTTTTTTTTGCTTTGTGAATACAACAAAAAATGTACAAATAACAATTATTTTATATGGAAATATGATGTTAATAATCCTGTTTTTAACTTTATCAATAAATACAAGCAATAAATCACTCATCTATTTGGCGTTTATTTGTATAATCTCCTTACAGACTGCTACAGAGTGAGAATCAGAATCAGAACTTGCTGGACCAGCTCAGGGAGCTTAAGGACGAAAATGGTCGGCTCTTCAAACTTCTGAGTGAGAAGGATTTTGAAATAAAACACCAGAAAAAGAAAAGGGAAGAAGAACGTCTGATTTTAGCAGGTATAATACCACATCTTTGCACCACAGTAACACCATAGATACACTAAAGCTTCCTCGTGACTCATCCACTCATCCATTTAGGCACGTCGGGCTTTGCAGGCGATATCGCAGCCACCAAGATTGTTGAGCTGTCCAAGAAGAATAGAGAGCTAACGGCTGAAATTGAGCGAGAAAAGATTAAATCCAAGCAAAGCATCAACAGAGTCGAAGAGCTTGAGAAAGAGGTAACACAGTCCTGCGTTGCAGGTGTGATTTAATATGATTGATGGGTGGATATTCATTATTTTTAGCATGCTCTAACAGAGATATGTCCTTCTATAGCTGCAGGCAGCTTTGCTGCACTCTGCAGACGGGCGGGAGGTTGGTCCCAAGTCTCAGGATAAGAGGCTGTCTGAAGACTGTGAGGTAATCTAATCTATGATGTGAAAACTCACGTGCGGCAAAATTCTGCTCTGTTATCTCACTGGCTTTAACGATGCCAACTCCGTCCACCTGTTCACGAAAGCAGCACAATCCGGCGGTGAAGTCTCTGCAGGACAAATTAGCTGCCGCCCAGCTGAAAACGACTGAGTATCGCAACCAGGTTCAATCTGTCAAACAGGAGCTGAAAGTAGCTCAGAAGGTAGAATCTTTTTTTTTTTTCCTTCCCTGAAGAATCATCACAGATAACTGTGTTTCCAAAGTACGGGCCGCTGCTGTCGTTGTAGGTTTTGCTCAGTGAGCTTGGAGAGGGGGTGAGCTTCCAGCAGTTACTAAACTCCCCGGGGAGTTTTCGAGGTCGCTCTCAGCAGATATTGGCTCTTCAGACGAGGGTAAGCTAAAAAGCACAACGGTAATGAAGTGATTCCCAAACACGCTTATCAAGGTCCTTTCAGAGCGACTCAACAACTTCACCAACAAAACCGGATGTTGTGCAACAGGTGCGGGATCTGGAGCAGCAGCTGAACCTGAACCTGTCCGCTCAGCGAAGACAGCCAAGTATCCTGAGTGAGGAAGAAGAGTTTCTGGGCTTAGGATTCCCTCAGAAAGCCCCTCAACGAGACAAGAACCTCAGCTACATCCGCGCCATCGAGAAGGAGAAGAGGGAGGCCTTTGAGGTGCGTATGCAATGGCGGTGAATTACTTGAACAGAATGGATTTGCTGACGAGGCCGTGCGTTGTTCTCCACAACTGACCAGAGGATCTCAGTGGACTATGAGGCCCTCCTGAAAGACCACGAGGATGTGAAGAAAAAGCTGGACGCGTCCAAAGCCAGGAACAAATCTCTGTCTACCGAGGTGAAATCTCTGAAGCTCCAGAACTGCACCCTTATGGAGAAGGGTAAACACGATGACGAGCTTGTGGATGCTCTGCTGGTGAGGAAGAAGAAAAAAAGTTTAAACCTGTTGTATTGTAACATTAATTGTGTCTTCTCAAATACTCCACGTATTCTCTCTAAAGCATGTGTGGCAATGTTAACAATTATTTTGCATTTTTTTCCCAGACATCTGTTGACCATCGGGCATAATATTGTTTTTTTTAAAAGCTTTTATTGCCATTTTCATGCACCAAAGCTAATGGAACTTTGTCAGCCACAGACAAGCACAAACCCATTTTGCAGGACATTTAGCATAACATGTATTTACGACATTTAATCATTTATTAACAACACAAGTCTGTTCTTGTTACACAGACCAACTAACAGCAAAATAATAAAGGGATGTCACACCAAATTTCTCTTATCAATAATCTCACCTTCGACCTCTGACAGAAGCGGCAGACTCAGATGCAGGAGGTGCTGAGTCGGCTCGGCCGAGAGCAGGAGGCGAAGAGCGAGGAGACCCAGCGGAGACCGAGGCAGCAGCGGAGCACCGTGCCTCAACAGAAGATTCACCTGTTAGTCACTAAGAGAGATGCCAGGATCAAAGAGCTGGAGGAGGAGATCCAGCAGATCTCTTTCAAGGGCAAGAAACAAGACAAAATGGCCGAAACGACATTAACAGCGGTAATATTCTTGTACTTTGACTTCACAACAGTCGGATTCATTGAAAAAGGATTTAAAGGCCAAGTTGAATGTGCGTATTCTGCTGTTTCAGACGGAGGGCACGGGGGGGCAATCCAGCCTCAGGACGGGAATCTGCAGTTCAGAATTCACCCCTGAAGAGGGAGACATTAGCAACAGAATAACGTCTTCAGGGTATGTGGAATAATGAATATATTGTATAAATAATGATTTACTGACAAATATTATGTTTACATCTTTAAACTGCTAACTGTTACAGCAAGTTACGTTCTAAGGAATCTTTTCTAGCAAAATTAGGATCATGAATTTACTATTCAGGGACTTTCTGCAAACAGGTCATTGAATTTGGTTGATGTCACAGCTGACTGTCGCTCATCTTCTTTCAGTTCTGTTTCTAAATTTGGTCATAAACTGGTGCTGCCGGCTGTGGGAAGCAGTCTGGAAATCAAGTAAGTGTGAACCAAGCTGCTGTGTTTGTACATTTCCTAATGCAATGTTACACGATTATGCAAATGATGCTGTTTAAAACTCCGAGGATCATAAGTGTGATGAGTATAAAAACATTTGCGTGGTAAGAGTAGTAGGCATTCCTGCAGAAAAAGTAATATACTTTAAAAACATTGTTTTGTTTCTTCCTCATTTATTGCTCTGACTTTAAAAATGTCTGTGGTACATTTTTTGGCGTATGTGCTTGTTGAAATAAAGTTCATCTCTTCTTTAAAGCTACTACTTTAAAGCAATTTATATTGATCGCAACAAAATATCAAAACAAAACCTGTTAGTTCGCTGAGTGCTTGAGGAGTGCGAGGGTTTGTTTGCAGGTTTGTTTAATGATTCACCTGAGGAGCACTGAACCCTGGACGCTGTTGTTTTCCTGTGGCAATTATTTTCATTTGGTTATTGTGACATCTTTGTGTCTCACAGCAATCAAAATTCTAATGAGGTGAGGGAATGCTGCAATGCCGCACTACTAAACTATTAAATTAATTTGCCGCCCATTCTACAAACTCATTTCAAGGTCACGCTCGCTTTTTATTGCTTAGTGAGTTATTTTTATTTATTTAGTAAAAATAATGGTGCACAGAAAACAAGAGTTGTATAGTTATCTGGACTTTCCTCGTTCTAAGTCAGTATTAGAATAATTCTATATTAAGCAGAAATGAAGCAAAAGGGACTTTTTTCCCCCTCACTACAATCACACACCACAGCGTAACATTTTATTAAGTAGCAGTAGTGCGAAAGTTCTATATTGTGGGTTTCTTTAAGTAAGTGAACTTTTCTCGTCCACCTGATGTCTCATTGGTCCAACTGTACACTCAGTGTTATTCTTCCACCAGATTCTGACTGTCAGAGCTTGAATTTTCCAGGGGGAAAGCGAGGTCTTCGGAGGCAGGACAGGCGTACCAGGAGGAACGCCGCGGGGTGGTGACGCCGCAGCAGCTGGAGAAGATAACATCTGATCCAAAGTAAGGACCGTGCAAGTGGGGAGAACTGTCATGCCAAGGTCAGGGGCCGCGCGGTATGACGACGCCTGGCAGGTTTTTCTTCCAATTGTCCCTTTTCTTTCTCGCAATTTTCGTACTCAATTTCACCCAATCTCTGTCTCGCGTCCAGCTGTCACGGCTCTGTGCCGTGAGCGGTGTCCCTCAGGGCGCCGGGAGTTGCCGAGCAACGGAAACTGAATAGACAAACTGAAAAGACTCTCCAACAAATCACTTGTCATTTGTCAACATTGCATTTCTATCTTTGACCGCACTGAAGTTGTCTTACCTGAATGGCAGGAGACAGAAATAATGATGCCTGGCATTGGACACTCTTCTTCTGCTCACTCCAAACCTCATGTTTTGGCGGCAAAGACGTGTTTTTGTTGCTGTTGCATGTCGTGTCCTCGCCGCTGCGGGCATCGCCGAAGAGCGTCCTCCACCACGGCCTGCAGCTCGCCAGTGACGTGATGAGACAAGCCAAGCATTTCTTTCCTGCAGGCTCTGTGACAGCGCGGACCAGACACTTACCAGGGGAGCTGGCTTCTTCCTGCTCAACATCACATCCAGCTGAGCCCTGTACCTTCTCCTTGTGACATGTGGCAACCAGCAGCCCGTTTGGTTAAATCAATGTCAATGTTTTCCTCCGGTAGTCATTTTGCGTGCATTACATGTAGAGAGAGCCGTTTTAATTGATATTTTTCCAAGCTAATGAAACATCCAATTCAATCAATGAAATGAATCTTGACCAGATGTTTGTCATAAATTGTTTACATTCATTGCTTTGACATTTTCTCTGAGTTTTGAGTTTTATTTGGGTTCCAGATGGTTAAATAAATGTGGGGCCGGCCAAGCTAAATAGTAAATACCAAATTTAAGATCCCCAAAACTATAACCTTCCTTTAAAAATATTGCTGCTAATCCTTTCTGACTTGAAACCAGCAGTGTGGGAATAGTGGTTGAAAATGAACGCCGGCCGAAGCTTCACAAACTCCCAGTGTAGTCCTGCACACGCTCCCCAGAGCATGTCACACGTATGTGCACAGAATCCCATCCTAGCTCCTTAATCCTCAGCGGAGTTCATACGAACATCCAAGTTTTTTTTTTTTTTTTCCAAAAGAGCCCAAAGGGTTTTTTTGGCCCCCCCCCCCCCCCCCCCCCCCGCCGACCCCTCCTCCCTTTCCTCTGCACATCACGCTTAATTTAAAAGCATGGCTGAGTTAGTGTACTGCTTCAAATACCGCACTATTTCTTCCAGTACCCTGTGGGAGATTGGCAGGTCCCCGCTGGACTGAGAAAGTGCCACAAGACAAAAATATCAGAGTTTGGAAGTGATGAAGAAAGCCTTTATGCTCGCAGTAACAAAACAGAGCCTGTTTTGAATGGCTCCTGGAAAGAAGAAGAGGCGCCCTTGAATGTGGTAGTACGTGTCATTGGAGGAACAGATGGGATATCACGCGACACGGCTCTGCACAAACGGCCAAATGCGTATTTAAAATGTAGAGATTTGCGTCATAAAGTGTGTTGATGGAGCAAATACTTCACCGCATCCTTTTCCAAAGGGGAAATCGTTTACTGAATGCAATGTTCTTTGGTTGTTTTTCAGATCTATGAGATAAAAACCTCCCAATAAAAATGAGGTTTGTTTTTGTGGGTTCGTATGACATTTTCTGAATTTTTTTTAAATTTTGTGCAACATGTTAGGAAGAAGCTATCAGATGTTAAATCAAGCTCACGGCTGCGTGTTCAATACCCCTTTTCCTGTGTGATTCCAGTGAAAAACCAATGTTGCCCTTGCTGATTTCAGTCATTAAAGAGTGTCATCACTTTAAAATAAATTACGCACCACCAAACAATTTTAATATGGTTTTATGTAGCTGTATTACGCAGAAAGGTGTAGATTTATTCCAAAATGCCCCATAACCCACCAAACCAAACACAAACTTATGTAAACACAGCATGCGTAAACAGCCTGACCTATTTGTCATTCCAGGTTTGAATGACTCCTTTCTCCATCCTCCTCCTCAGAGGTATTCCCTCGTTCTGGACCAATGCTTCCTGCAGACCATTGACTGCATCCAGAAACCAAAGCAAACAGAGGAGCCGTGAACGCAGAGGTTAAAGTTAGCCATCAGTGCACCAGGGATCTGTGAACTAAACTCAGGCCAGAAAACGGTTTGTACCTCTATGAGTCCATTCATCTCCCGGTGCCTCTCATTTACATGTAATGGAAAGAAAATAAACAGCGGTGTCCTAATGTGCTCATTTACAGTAAGTAGAAATAAAGTAATGAGCTGTTATCTTTGCAGAGACAGCAGCAAAGCCTTTTTTTTTTTGTCCACAATTGAAATGTTGATCAAAGTGTAGAGCATTGGAGACGTCCGATACGATCCCTTAATACGTTTCAAACTTTGGTTTTGCTCGCAGTTTAACAGCAGACGAACTCTGCCTGAGGCATCGAGCCGATACTGTGCGCCTTTTCTTTTCTTTGTGTTCCTTTCGGCAAGATGGCGTCGCTGGATGGCGGCGTGGTTAGTCATGCGCCGCACGCCAACCGCTTCTGATGTGTTTTCTTGATATTCAGGGACCTGACATTGTCCCGCACTAAGGTAGTGGGGACTTAATATATTGTACAAAGCAAGGCTTTGTTGTATCAATTCAATACAGTAAAAGCCACATGACCTCGTGTATGAATCGATGGACTGCAAAGAAACAACAAAACAATCTTTCTGCTGATGAAGGAAAGACTCAATCAATTATGCTCAATACAATAATACAAAATGCGAGAACGTCTTATGGTGATGACCTTACTGGAATGTTGTGGAAACTGTATTTTTTCAAAGACAAAACTGCCAAAGTAACATCACTATAGGACTCTCGCCTCTACAATTGCAAAAAAAAAAAAGAAACGGCTGCTTTGTTTTAATTCAGCATCTCTGTCAAAGACAACAGACGTGTGTTGAGTACATTTACACAAAACAACCAATGATTCTGGAAGAGTTGGGAAACAAATAAATACTGTCTCACGTGTGTGTGTGTGTGTGTGTGTGTGTGTGTGGATTCATACTTTATGTCCCTCCATGAACAAAGTGAACAAGTCCCCTAGTGAGACTGACCCAGCGGCTTTTGTCGTTTTGTTCACAAACATGATCACTGCCGGGAGAATATCCTTCCTCATGGACATTTGTGCACGAACACCGAAGAGAAAAATAATTTGGTGGGAGACAAAAGGGGACGACCGGCCACCTGAGACACCTCATGCTTTCTGAATATTAATGCCTGAAGCTTTGTCGTGACACAAGAATCTGATGCGGTGATTCATACTCAATGGCTGCTCATTACGTCCGTGCAGGCTGATGTGCACGTGTCTTCATGTGGGGCGCTAATTAAGGTGATACACAACCGTAGATTATCGGACCCAATTAGGAAATGAGAAAAGTTCACTAGTGCGTCTGTTGTCTTGGCAACGACCACTACCGTGATCTTCAGTTGGGCTTCATGCGGCTTAATGTACCACAGGTCCGTGGGCCCAGAGCTCCACCACCTAGAGGGTCTTCTGCCCACTGCAACCGACACTAATGGCTCCAAGTGACAAAATCCACCACATCAGACGGCCGACGGACCAAAACATCAAACACTCAGTTTGTACCATCGGAGGCCTTTTGACTCCCTGTATTAGAACCATGAAAGGGATTTCATCTTCCACTACCACTGATCAATAGCAAGAGATCGTTCTGTTTCATTTCAACATATATTTTCCCACACGGTGGTTGAGATGTATCATGTCCAATAGTTCTTTCTTTCACGTGTAACACATGTCTGTAATATTTAATATCTGTGTATATAATATTTCATTTCAGTTATTGTGGATTCTTGTTTTTATTTTATTACTGCTATAACTATTTTGTGATCTTTTTCATGTCCGTGTGCACTTCACCCCCTTTGTGGCTCCTGTAAATCCTAATAAAGGACTATTTTATCTTATCTTAATCTTAATAAGGTGATTCTAATATTGGAATGATTAAAAACAGACATGTAATAACAATGATCAACGCAGGGAGGAATTCCACCGAGCACAAATAAGTACTATCACCAATTCTTGTTTTCTGACACACCTCTGTATTGAGTTGTACACACAAAAACAGGGTACAAGGGTACAAATAGCAGCAGAATTCTCAAGGAGATTCAACAATAAAGGAAAAGCTGAGTCTCTGTGCTGGCATCCACTAACCAGGCTCTTCTTCACTCTGTGATTCGGAGTCGATCCAGCGGAGCACCGCTTTAGTGATTGCATCCAACACCTCCGACACGAGCCAATCACAGGCGGCTACTCTACGGCCGAGGCTGAGGACATCGCCACCAGAGGCCATCTCGGTCGGGCAACATTTCATATAAATCATCAGGGAAGGTCATATTCAAGCATGCCACTGCATTAAAGTGTGTGCTCCTCGATCACAACATGTAAGTTATTGTGTCCCAGGTTCTTTTCTTCAGAACTTCACGCTCCTTTTACATCTTGAGTCAGTGAGAAAAGCGTCGCTCTGCAGGGCGCTTCAGTCAGTCGCTCATTCACCTGAAACCTTTATCTCGTGTAGTCAGTGTAGGTCTGGGCATTTACAGCAGTGGCTGGGACAATTGGACATTAACTAGGCGGGGTGAGCGCGCCCGAATCTTTTGGAGATAAAAACAAACGTTCTCGTCTCCCCTTTTTTTTTGCTCCCCCCTCAGGTGCAAACACACAGCTCCTCTGGCACATCCTGCCCCACTGCAGTGATGCTTCACCCTTCTGCCCATCCCCCCCTCCCCTCCCCTCCCTCTCCCTGCACCGTGTTAACTGCCTGTCCCCGGCTGTAAAGCACACCGGCTCTATTGATTAATTAATGCACCCCAACTGCAGGCTCGGCGGTCTCGGGCTGCCTGCAGTTGGTGTCTCTGGGAGAGCGAGAAGAGGAAGAGACGGCAGAGCAGCAGACAGTATGAGAGGAAGCTGACAGCACCACGGTCCCCGTTAAACACCCAGGGGCCACTGTGGTCCTCTCTTTTCGTTTTTTTTTTTTTTTTTTACGGCGCCAGCGCGGACAGAGTGAGAGGAAGAAGAAGGAGAGGACGAGAGGAAGAGGGAGACAGGGGGCAGGGTGGCTGCGGGGAGAAAGAGGGGGGTGGGGGGGAGAGGATGTTTGTGGATCAGCCGGCGTGTCCACCTCAGCTCCTGCTGCGGGGCTGGGGAGCGGTGCTGCTGTCCCAGTGCTTGTCCTCCGTGTCCTCCCAGGTCCCGGATCCCGAGGTAAGAGCCCGACACGACGGCACGTCCTCCGCGGGTTCCCACAGGATGCGTCGGGGACAGGTGCAGGTGTTCTGCCGGTTCACGGGGTCGCTTTGTCGCCCCCCCCCCCGCCCCCGGTTAATGAGGAGTGGGGGGACATGATGTGGAGACCTGATACATTATGTCCCCGTGGGAATAGCTGTGCCACATGTGTGTGCACCGGTGCAAACGGGAGGCGGATGACGTCACGCTCGGCCAAGTTGTTTTTGTGCTTTTGTGCTGAAGGGAGGGGGGTCGCGTTGGAGAGAATACTGCTCCTCCGTTTCCCTAAGCTGTGTAGATTAGAACAACATTTATATAAGAATGAGTCAGTAGCTGTGGTCGCATATTAAAGATAGGAATACAAACAGACTTTAAAACTTGGCTTCAACCATGAAGAAATATCATCTAGATACTGAGCGTGGTGTGCGATTACGAATACGCTGCGTTCATTTTATTATAAGACATTATCATTTTATTAAAAAGTTCCTACCTGTCACTAGAAATCCTCTGGCGCATTGTACCAATTCTCCTCAATTACTCTTACCTTTTAAGAAAATCAACAATATAACAAAGAATATTCACCCATGCCGTTGAATATCAAGCCAACGCACAAAAATACGTCATCAATTTGGTACGTGGTGATCAACACGAGGTAACTCGAGGTCACGTCTGATTCTGTGTCGTTTTTTTTTCCACCAAAAGAAAACTTATAGTCTTACAGCCACTAATCCCGCCCCATGAAATTGCCCCAGAGGAAAGGACTTAGCATTATGTAAACGCTCTTGAAGCAGCGGTGCTAAATATCCCCATCACTGCTAATCCTTCTGTGGGAGTGTGAACTCACACAGACAGTTGTTTTTTTGCCTTCTTGCAGCTTCTTTGTTCAAGTTCTCGTCCCCCCCCCTCTCGCGTCCTCCTCCGGGGGGACGGACGGTGCTTCCGGCCCCCTGGAGACAGCTTTTGCTGTCACACGTTGGCCGGCTGAAGCCTGTCGGCTCTCTCACACGCAAACAGCAGGTCTGTTTACGCTGCTGCTGAGAGGCTCACGTGGCGCGACGGAGGAAGCACAAGGGCCAAAAATCCGCTCGATCTTTTTCACTCTGGCAAGAACTCCAAAAAACGTTGTTCCGAATGACACTAAATATTTCTATTCATGGTAATTGTGATATCTGCTATCCCCCCATTGTGAACCATTTTGGTCAGAATACACCTGCAAATGGGTTAAATATTGTACTTTATTTCCATCAAAACGAAACAATTCACGTACGTATCTGATCTCCCGAGGAGCTCAGCGCTGCTTTGTTTACATCACAGTCTCGGCCTATTCTTGGAAAATTGTTAAATCTCACCACATTACGGTGTCACGAGTATAGGCAGCAAATGTGATAATGCTCCATTTTCTGATCCCCCCCACTCGTTGGATTATGGTGTGCAGTTTCCAAATCGATCATCTATCATCTAATCAAGCAATCAATATAAAGTAGAAAAGGAGAAACCCGCGTGGGACCGGGTCTACTGCGGCTGCACGGTGTCATGTTTACAGACGCGTGCGCTTGTTAGTGACGTGTAAGGGAGAGAGACGCACACAAAAAAAGAAAAACCATGTGGGTGTTTTTCGCTGGAGGAAGTGACCTTTTCATCAGCTGCTTTTGTGTTTTTTTTTAACTAATCAGGGACTTGATGCCTTTTAGATGACGTGAAATGTTTCTTTTATGAAACAGTTGTTTTACATGACTCTGGTGTGTACTTCACATTAAACAGAGTTCATTATAAATTCTCAGTCGAAAAGATCAACATTGTCTTCTGTTTTTATTTACAGCTTTTGCCCACAGATCCCCCGAAGAAGCCGGACCCCATCACCTCAGAGTCTGTGGTTTTCTGGGGGCTGCGGTTATGGCAGGTCATCGCCATCTTTTCAATGTTTATTTTAGCAATCAGTACGTATGAAATCACTTTGTCTCGATGTGTTCTGCAAATAGACTTTAACCCTGAGAAAAAGCTGCAGGCCAAAGGTTCAATACATACAATTATATGTCCACAGTGCGACAATCAAGCACAGTGTGATTAGCAATAATTAAACTAGGATTAAGGGAAAGGCTGAGATCCCTTCTGTGACTCCACAAGTGACTCATAGGAGCCTAAAATGTAAAGAGAGGGAGGAGAGATTCTCTCTCAGTGCAAATTGTGTATCTGACATTTTCTGCACCGTGACAAAATCTACGAGGCCGTTTCTTTTCCTAAAAGCACCATTTCATACAAACAAAATAGACACATCTTCTCCCTCAGAATTGAACCTGTGCATCTGCACAATGGTGCCTGGAGACACACTGCAAACAGCAGCATGCCGACATGCTTCCAATGACCATGCTAGTATGTCGATGTCCTCTTAGCATGCTTGATCATCAGTGTGCTAATAACAAATAAATGCATACATTTCTTTTTTCTGTTTTGAAATTTTCAACAGTAATTTGACAGTAATAGTAATTGACCTCATCATTGATGTCTGTATAGAACTTGACTGATAGATTAAAAGGTAAAAAAAGTAAATTTCATTGTATACTGTATGTATTATTTGTGCAAGTAACAATTCGTGACCCATCCGTGGTGCAATGTGCTATTCAAATAAACCAATTGTGCCCCCCCGCCCCTTCCTCCCCTCTCCTTTAGTTATCACCCTATGTTGTATATTCAAGTGTCGCATCCCGAGGACCAAAAAGGAAATAGAGGCACGGCACGCGCAACGACTGGCCGCCAAGAAATACGCCAACACGTTAGAGACGGTGCCACCGCTGAACGAGCTGACGGAGATCCCCGGATGTAAGTACCCCTCTCTCTCTCTCTCTCTCTCTCTCTTTATTCAGCATCGTACACACCGGCTCTCTGCTGGAAACGTTCCCCTGTTTTCTCTTGTTATACGGTGGAAAGAGAAAACACTCTGTTTGAATCTTAAAGAGGCTGGAAGCTTCTAATGGGAGGCCTGGTGTCAACAATAAACCACCACACACAATATGATGTCCCCCCCCCCCGACACTAGTCTTTGATTACCTTACACACAAGCACACCAGAGGGATTTTGACTGCGGGCGAGATTTTCCATTCTTGGCCAATCCGAGCTTTCACACATCACGACGCCCAATAAATCCTGTCTATTTGTGTGGCGTGCGGGGGCGGGACTAACGCAGACAGACGCACGTTTCTCTATCATCATCTCCAGCCAGAACCACAAAAGGCACGAAGACAGCTGTCTTTTATCTCAAATCCTTCCTGGGACATTTTAAACGTCTTAATGTTTTACTGTCTCTTCCCTTCACCTCACAAATCTCGGTTCAATTCTTCTGCTCCGTGGAAGTAAATTTCCTCCCCTTGCCTCTCCCTCCTCTCTTGTCTTGCTTCGCCTCCTCCCTCTCTTCCTCGCTGTCTTGTTTTTCCAGGTGCCTCAGGTGCCTCTGCAGTAGAGACGGTCTCTGAGCAAGTCCAAACTCAAAGTGCCATCGACGGGCAGCCCTCAGCGGCCCGGGTCAGCGAGGAGCCACCCGGCTGCCTCACTCTGCCAGAGACCGGCTGATTTCTTCTCTCCTTTTCTTCTGAACCTCGCCTCCTTTAAGACTCTCTCCTCCCGGCTAAGTGATTTCAAAATACGCGGCCACCCTAAAGGGTCCTCTACATGCAGCGGCCGTCTACCTGCTCTTCCTTAGTTCTCCAAATGCATCATTGCTTCACGGCTGATATGTGTCACTTACAGAATGCCGTTTGTGCGCTGTGATGTTCTGTTTTCCGCCTGCTTACTCGAAGCAAATCATTCACACTGTCTCCCGTTAGTGTAATTAAAGATGATCATTGATCTCATCCGTGGTTCCATTTTCTGGTGTCTCTCCGGATTGTAATGCTTGTGTGTGTGTTTGTTTTCCTGTGACATGTGACAAATAGGGACTGACATGGGTCTTGTTGCAGCTACCGGCAGAGCTTCCATATCTCTTTAATCTTCAGTGTAGTCTAGAGAGCTGATCTAATGTGGCATCCCTCTCTGAAGGGGAGACGCAATGACAGCAGACAGGATGATCTTATTCATTAGTTGCTCTCAACAACAAACTAATCATAATGTAAAGTTTGCTTCTGGAATGACTAATAATGCCGTAATGGGAAATATAGATGTAAAGCCAACATGCAAAGGAACTTTTTCCCCCAGTGATAATGTCAGACTTAAGTGACGCCCAAATGAAATATTCAGTAATATCTGACATACCAGATTACCACATGCAGAGAATCTGGAGGGAATGTGGCGTGATTTTGAATGTAAAAGGAAATTCCTAATGAAAACTGTCGCAAATTTGCTTTTTTTTTGAATGAGGGCTTGATTATGCAAAGCGGGGAATACGCTCACACGATTCAAAGCAATCAGTTGGAACGTCACAGAGTTTAGCTTAGCAGGTCATTAAATGTTACAAATGTGAATCAAGAGGAGCCAACTGGCATCTTTTTTGACGTGTGCAGCAACACATTTTTCACGCAGCAGCTTGTAAGATCCACGTTTTGCAGAAATCGCTCCCAACTCTCCAATGAGAGCTTCTCTGAGTCTTATCCAGCGGTTAAAAGCATCCGGGATGGAAAACAATGCCAGGGTAGGAAAGCTTTCCCGTTCCGCAGCAAGTATCTGCTGCAACATACTCGCTGAAGGGAGAAAGAAAAGCGCAGGCTTAGTCTCCACCTTTCATCCCTCTGTCTCAAAGAGCACAAAGACGGAGCGTTGGATCAATCCTTCCCAATGTGCCATCAGCTCACGGCCGGCGAGTCCGTCCACGACGGCTCCGATGGGGAAGCCAGGAAGAGGTTGTTCAAAGTTCACAGCACGCCGAACAATGGCCGGCCAAATTGCGAGAAGGAATTTTGGTCGTGCAACAAGTCCCGCTTTGTTGCTTTGAAAGGAAAACTGGCAATATTCTTGATATCATTAGGACACTTATCTGCTTCCAGAAACACCAGTTCTGAGGTTACATTTGCAAGGTCACTGGGACTCTTTTAGAAATGGTGCCATGTGTCCTCAAATCCCACTGGACCTTTTTTTGGACGGGACCTATTGTTGAGGGCAGTGCTAACCCTTTTTTTTCCGCTGTCATGCACAGCGTGAAACCAACAGGACTGTTGCACCAGCCCCCCCGAAATTGGAACGATCGTTTGGGAGTCATCTTCAGGGCACTGATGCATCATAAGCTTTGTCTAGACGTCTATAGAAATAAGATTTTAAAAAAGCAACATGAAGGTTAGTAAGATAAGTGGAAATGCATCAGGTTAAAAGCACAAGAAACAAATGCACGTATTTATTAACATTGTGATGTTTGGTTGATTATTTAAAGTCACCCAACACAGTAAAACAGAGGGCTGAAATAAGCCCCCGCCCCCCCGGGCGCTGCCTTTTGACGTGTTGTTTGTCTGGCATTTGGTTTCCCGGCCTGCGTTTGTGTATCCGGTGTCTCTGCAGCATTACAGAGCGCCGGCAAAGTAAAACAGCCTTTGGATCCGTTCGGAGTCCGTCCCACATTTGGTTCAGTTACCGTTTTTAACGCTCGTTCTCGTCAGAAAAAAACAATGCGTCTTATAGATCTATATCAGCAGTTATGGGAAAACACTTGACTGGGGAAGTTACATGTTCCGAGAGCTAAGAGTCCAATTCATTGTGAGGTGGCATCTTTTATGTGGAAAATGCTGTCAAAGAATTGATACAAATGGATTAAATGATCTCCAATGAGGACTTTGCTGACATAAAGCTTTTAAAGTTTTTTGTTTTTTTTAAACCTTTTGTATTTGTTGTTTTCTTGCAGCTGCAAAGGTAGAAGAGAAAGAAGAGGTGAACACAGTCTCTGGTAAAGTGGACGCCGATAAAGGAGACAAGAAGTCCAAGGAGGGCAAGAAGGAGGGCAAGGCTGCCAAACAAGAGAAAGGAGACGAAAAGGATGCGTCGTCAAAGAAGGGCGAAAAGGGACCCAAACCAGACGCTGCTGGAGGAAAAGGGAAGAAACCTGGAGAGAACGGGGACAAAGGGGAGAAAGGAGGCAAAGCGGCGGCTAAAGGGGGGGCGAGGAAAGCTCAAAAGTGAACTCTCGCGCCCAGAGACAATCACCCAAAAAGATCAATGCAGATTTCTCACTGCACCACCTTTTTTCTATCATGACGTTTGTATATTATATTTGAAATAAACAAAAATCTTGTATATAAGAACATTTGAAATGTGTCTACCTGAGAATCATTGAACGTTGAAAGAATATCAAGAGTACAATAAAATTACAGATTTATTCACAATTCACCGATAAACATTAGAGACCAGAATACATATTATTAGTTTATTCCAAGTTTACACGTATACATCTACCTAAATCACGACAGAGTGATGAGAAGGCGTCTCAGCAAACACAAGACCGACGCTCACTCCACCGAGTACGTTTCAAGATAAATAAAAGACAAGAACACACATTTTATACTTCCATGAGAGGTATTTGAAAAAAACAACAAATTACAACATTAGCTCTATGATCATTGGCCTTATTCTACACTTGATTCCAAAACACAATCAATTTACATGATACAATCAGAGAAATACTGTATTATAGGTTATTAAAGTGCTCAAATATAATTTGTAATGTATTCTAATGGAATATTTATAATATATATTTTAATGAACATAATGTTTACTCGCCAAGGGGCAATTCATGTAACGTTAGATTGAATTGTGAGAAATGCAATAAATAGCGGCGCCGAAAGAGGCTTTGAGTCATTAAGAGAGAGAACAGTCACACCTCCAGTCGCTTGATGAGCTCTTTACTCAATACGCAATGTTAACCCGTCCTCATGGAAAACCTCTAGTTGATGCTCAGCGATAATAATAACCACGAAGAGACCCGAACCATCAGTGATCTCTCAGTAATTTCGTATTTAAAAACTCTATGCTACAGTCTTTAAAAACAGGTGACAGGTACGCAGTCGGCATCATTTGAATTGACAGCAGGGCTCTGTAACTCATAGCATTTGTCTACTGCTTATCCATTATTACACATTTTCTCTATTAGTGAGTATTTAGTATGTATGACGACGCTTTCTGTCAGTTCCTTGTAAGTTTTGGTATTTTAGAGTTTACCATCGAATGGTGGAACGTAAAGGAATGTGGGATGATGCTTCTAATAGCAGATATTGGCTTTAGTCATATGCTGGTATTTCAGGGGGTAAAATTGGATCAAAATCACAACTTAAATCACCAAAAGTGACGAACCAAGGACTTGAGACCAAGTTGAGTCAAAAGATCAACAAGAAAACGTCCATTGGTGGAGATGGTCATGTTCCATTGGTGGAGATGGTCATGGTCCATTGGTGGAGATGGTCATGTTCCATTGGTGGAGATGGTCATGGTCCATTGGTGGAGATGGTCATGTTCCATTGGTGGAGATGGTCATGGTCCATCGGTGGAGATGGTCATGGTCCATTGGTGGAGATGGTCATGGTCCATCGGTGGAGATGGTCATGTTCCATTGGTGGAGATGGTCATGGTCCATCGGTGGAGATGGTCATGGTCCATTGGTGGAGATGGTCATGGTCCATCGGTGGAGATGGTCATGGTCCATTGGTGGAGATTGGTCACTGAGCGTTGTGAATGGCTTTTCTCACTTTGAGTATTTATATTTATCTAGCTGCTCGACTCCAACACTTTCATCTGGACATTTTCCTACAGTTACAACCAGTAGAATTTTATTCTGGGAGGCGGATTTTACAGCTTTCAAGACTTTTGGTCGTTGTAAACAAGTATGTGTATGAAAACATCGTCTTCTCAGGCAGCGTATTGCGCCTTTTCTCTTTGGTATCAGATAGAACGATGTCACCAAACCTGCAATCTATGAGTTTAAAATGTATTGTGGAATGATTCATTGAATGGCAGTTTAAATGCCCTCACCTGTAAATATAATTACCTGTTTCGGGCCGTATACACACATGACCAAATATCCAAATATCGCAAACATTCCGTGAACAAACACATGAAAAAAACAACAACATAGCACTATAACATATTCATACGCATGAACAGGATTAGTTCACAATTAGAATGTATTTCTGATCGTTGTAAACATTGTGACTTGTATATACACATAAAACAGCAGCATATCACTGAACCACCTGTACAAATCTAACTCCGGCTTTCCCTTCATATCCACTATGAGTTCCAGCCAAATAGGATTTTTGTGGAATGCTCATGTCGTTGACATTTCCCTGGAATATTTACATTTTCTGCACCGCGTGTGTGTGTGTTTTTAAACCGAGTGCCGTCCTTTGGAATCTCTGTGGGAAGATACGATACCGTTTCTGTGACACGTCCATCAACACATTCCTCAACTAACGCTGAACGCACAGACGCCGTCTCCAAAGACATATTCCAGCTTTGGCATCTCGCTCTACCGGAAAATTGGAGTATGGAACATTCGTTTGAACTGATTTGAGATCTTAATTAAAGAGATGAATACTGAGGGGTTGGTTTTAAACAGCGGAAACTGTACAACATTTTGAGAAAGAAATAAGACGGAAGAGCACAGCCTTGTTACGTAGCATAATCCTCAGAGTAAAGTATTCAAAATAGGTGTGCAACAACGGATGACTTCAATTACCTGAGTACCTTCCCGTTCATACTGAAGTGGACTTAAGTCAACGGCAAAACACGTGAGATACCGTGCCAGAAAGCGTGAGCAGATGCCTCCAGGTTGAAGCATTTAGCATCTTCTTAAGGCTAAACCCGCACTTAGCCTCCCCACAACCTGCTGATCAAACCGTCCACCCGTGTGTCACTAAAGAGCATTCGACCCACCTGGCTTTACAGAGGCGATTAAGGCAACTACTGCGACTAAACACCACCCCCCCTCACCACCCCCCCCCCCCCCCCCCCATTTCGATTCATGAAAAAAAACCTGAGTACACCAAATTTTTTTCTTTAAGTTAACAGGAAACAAGACCCCACTGGGCAGATGAAAAAGACTAAAGAAACAGTCCGGTTGTGTTTCCATCCCTATACACATTCGCCGTGAACGAGCGGAGCCCCCTTTGGCTGCGTCAGCGAGGGTCGTCCTCCGTCAGGTGAAGGTGGCCAGGCTCACTTATCGCCTCCAGTCTCATCTGCTGGAAATATGCTCAGGCTTCATCGCAGCGTCGATGCCTGCAGCCCCCCTGATGGGTTCCCCTCCACCCCCCTGTACGCAGCGGCCTGCGGGGTCACATGACTGTCTCCCTCTCCTCCTCCACCACGGGGGAGGGTTTCTCGCTCTCGCAGGGCCGCGCGGGAGCCGAGTGCTCCTCGTCGGGGACGTGCAGCTCCTGTCCCGACGAGGGCACCGAGTTCTCCGAGACGGAGCCGTTCTTCACGTAGCCGGGGAGGTTCCTGTGTCCGTTCAGGGGCCCCGGCCCCAGCCTCGTGGTGAGGTGGAGGGCCAGCGGCCCTCTGGCGGTGACGTTGGTGACGCTGGTGTGGGACACGATGGGTCCGTAGCTGTAAGTGTTGCTGCCGCTCCGAGCTTTTCTTTTGAAATCCAGGGCCAGAGTCCTCCTGCTCCAGGACTTTTTGATCTCGGCTTGCACCTGGGAAGAAAATAAGCTCATTTAGCCAAGCGATAACTATCATGTGGGGTGTTTTGGTGTGAAATGCAGTTCTTACCTCCCCGTTGCAAAAGCAGTATATGATTGCAACTAAGAATCCCTGTAAAAGAGAAAAGAAAGATGCGTCTTTAATGTGAACGTTGCACAACATTTGTGCTATATTTATCAGCCAGCTATCTATTCCTATTCTTCTTCATTAACAACCAGCACATGCGGTAACTGATCCCCTCCAGTGCCTTTGCTGAGACGTTCAAAGTCCTATCTGGAATTAACGCTAACTCCGATAATCCCGATCACATCATCAGATTTTTTCGACTTGATAAGGATGCATTTATATCTATTGGGACGCTCAGCTGAATGAGCATTTCTGCCACAGCGGATTTACCTGGAAGGAGTTGAAAAGCATCTCGTAGTGCATCTGTATCAGCCAGGGAAACCCGGACACCTCTGTGTATGGCATGGCATGGAAGATGATGTAGTGGACCCCGAAGAGCGGCATCAGCACCAACGTGGACTTCAACAGCTTTCTGTGACAGCAACATTTCATCTTCACAAAAAAGCACCTTCTGCACATTATACACCTAAAATAACCATTTTAAGTCAAAGCAACAAATATTATGACGACCTGTGAAATGGTGACGGGCATTTCTCAACAGCGTTGGGACTTTTTTATTGTCTAGAATCCTCTCGACTAATTGGCAGTGGTAACCAAAGTGACTGGCGTGTAACTCAATACCTGTACTGCTGCCTTGTGTCACACCTGCCCGCGTTCGTTTCTCGCAGCTTCGTTGCCAGGACTCTGATGATGTTCAGAAATAACATGAAATTAACCTGAGGACACAAGTAGAAAGACGATGACGTCAGAGTCAGAAGAGCAAACGGAACGCGGTGTGATCCGGCAGGTGCCGTGAAACGCTGTCATTTGGGACTCGGCAGGCGAGCGGCAGCCAGCCAAGTGCACTCACCACTATGGCCGCCAGGATCGGCACTTGATAGATCCATTTCAGATTGCCCGCACTTAAGTCCCAACACCTGCAGAAGATGAACGACAACATGATGGGGAGAAGTGAGTTGTCAAAATGATATGTGGCTAAAACACTCTCTGCCTGAACTCTTGCATGTTGCACTTTACAACGTGAAGTGCAACATGTAAGAATTTAGTCCTTCTCATCTGTGCTCTTTTTAATGTATTTCTTTGGCCTGCAGCTGTAAATTCACCAATCTGTGAGCGTTGATGGTGGGGCAACATTAAGCGTTCGGGCCATTCGTCCGATTTTCGGCCAGAGCGAACTGTCACTCCTTAAGGCCGAACATGCACGCTGGGAACTGTTACTACCACGCTTGCTTGCTTGGTCTTTCTTGGCCAAAACGGCTGTGGAATTGATCTGCTCTCCACCGGACCAGCAGCTTAGTCAGTAAGCTGTGAGCTCTAGAGTCTCCCATGTTTGATGTGGTGAAGGGCCAATGTGGAGACTACAGATAGAGCCACTAACAGGGGGGTTGAGTGCCTGCCAGGCTGGTTAGAGGCAGTTTTCTTTGAAGGTGATTCCACTTTCATTCTTCTTATCTTTCACACCTGTCCGTAAGCTTTGTTGCCGTTCGTTGAGCAGAAGTTCCTGGCATGTTTGCCAATCAGGAATAGTGAAGAATGCTGATGTATTTCAGGCGGTGCTTACGGGATGCGACGTTTGAAATGTAAATTTGTCAAAGGAGACTTGCCACACACACACACATCTGATCATATATGTAATTAACTTCAAATGTGTAAAGTGGACTTCATCTTCATCTAAATGATTCATGCAGATCACTTACTCCGTATCCGCAAACGTGGCTCTCATAGTCGCCCAAGCCGTCACAACCATAGCTGGCACTCCTGGAAAAAAAAAAAAAAGAAAAGAGAATCAAACGTATTAAAGTTGCGGCCTTCTCGGTTATAAAGCGCTGCAAATGATTCTCTAATTCACCCCCTATGGGTAGAGCCCGGGTAGCACAGCATCCACATTGTATGCGCTGTGCTTACGTAACTTCTACGCACAGTGTGTACAATGCAGGAGCTGTAAAGCCCACGTTCATGCACTGTTTTTTTTTTTTTTTTACAAGCGAGTCAGCCTCCACTGTCCTTACCTACTGAATAATACAATGTCCGGGGTTCGACGGCGCCGCATTTACTTATTTAACAGAAAATTAAACACTTTGCATTTTTCATGATTTCACTTGCGTAACGGTTCCTCTAATCATAGTGCGAACACGTTGGAGGGGAATATGAACGGAGCGCAACTCACCCCATCCGATCAGAGTGAATCCCCACAGATACTTTCTGTCGGAGAAGAAGGTCATGAAGATGAGGCTGTGCAGGTACAGACCCTCCACCAGGATCCAGTAGTAGTTGGTGGCGAGGAAGTACAAGAACAAGGTCACGACCACCTTGCAGCCGATCTGTTCACGGACAACGGGGCAAGGAGAGCAGGTTTAATCGTCACGTGGTGACAAAAAAAACTCACTTTTGAAATATATTATTAAACAGATTTTAGTGCACAAAGCCAGCCAGCTGCAGCGGACTCTTAGAGACTCTTTGTTGAATTCTAAATACGGTTGGGGAGAATAGGAAAAACTAAAAACATTGAGAAATATTATTGTAGATTATATATTGCAAGTACTTTCTTGCCGAGGTGGAACAGTTTTGTACTGTATATGCCCGAGTCTGAGCCTTATTCAATTACTTTATTAATCTACTGTACGGCGTATTTATGCAGCATATATTATTATTTGACAGAAAATGAATCAGATTTTTCAAGTAAAAAAGAATCATGTTGCTGGCCTTCATACAACGACCATTGGCAGTAATTGTAAAACGTTTGCGAAGGTTCTTTTTTCTTCAAAACAATTCACTGAGCTAGTCGAGAGGTAGAATAAAGATGTGTTCAAAGGAGCTGTAAATTGCTAACATTAGCATAACAAAGCAGCAGTTGCCAAAGCGACGGGGTTTCATGCATTCAAAAAGAGTCGACTCTTAAAGACGTGCCTAACTGCCTAATTGGGCCAAATTAAAGTTGTTAAATAATCCTACTGACATATTGGCCAGGACAAAAAGTAAATGGGCATAATGCATTCATTGTGTGGCCTGGTAACTTGTATTGGAGAACAGTAAAAATGAGTGCAGAGATTTGAAAAAAACTCTCCTACAAACGTGCCGTAATCCAAATTATTTCAGTCAAAGAGGTTAAACCATTCTAGTCACATGCAATTTCTTTACGTCACTAAATATGCAAAATCCCATTGACCTTTGATTAGGATAAGGATAACAAATGAAACAATGAGAAGAATTATTATTATATTGATTATTATAGCGATTTACTTTGATTGGGCTGCAGTTAAAGTCGACCTCCAGACTGTTTAAGCTGCTGCCGTTTTGCCGACCGCTGATTATTAAAAGTCCGTTCCTCTCTCAGCCCTTTTCATCCATACTGATTAGCAGTGTGGTAATTGTCATCTCTGTCTCTCATCACTTTGTGTCCTATCCAGCATTGCTCGGCAACAGCACGTGTTTGGCCATGGGGACACTCGACATCTTAATTAATTAGACAGTTAATTGAAATCGTGTCAGTCAAGATTTGTTGTAAACTCTTTGGACCGTCTGTAATAAAGTAAGAAATCGAATGCGTAGGTGGATCAAATATACCACGAATAGTGAAGTCAGAAATTAAATTACTTCTGCTAATGAAAGGTAAGTAGTTAAAAATCCAATGTAATCAACAAAAACTGTTAAATAGCTTGGTTTATATTTTCATAGAGATTTAAAAGACTTTATTTTACTGACACATGTAGTGTTTTTTTCAGCATAAGGGTCTACGTCGTATTTTCTGCAGCAGTAGTTAGAAGTACAAACATCCTACGATGTCATATGTCACCTACTGTAACCATGCAGTTATAATCTAGGATGGCTCATATTAAAGCACACTATAAAAGAAACCCTATTAGGTAAAGTCTACCTAATACTTTAAACAACTGATTACAAGTAGTAGAAGTAGGTAATATTAACTCTAGATTGTAAGAACTTAACCTAATAATTGTTATTAAGAATTGGACAATATGACTTATTACTTAATCGGGGAAAGTAAGTTTTACTTCAGCTTAAATAGGCTGTAGGTGTTATCAAAAAAGAGGTAGTGTAGGTGGAAGTTACCCATAATTATACATTTGTTTGCTGACTATCACACTTCCAGTAACATTTAAACAATTTGCATGGGTTATAATTACTACCCTGCAAAAATTGTGTTATACAGTGTGCACACGGTGTACTACAGACTAATCATCTTTGAGTGTATTTTATTATATTTTATTAAGCTACCCTCCAAAATGTGTTTTTATAGTGCGTGCATGAAAGGTATCCAGACATTCAGCCATGTTTCAAACTTGACTCTGTGAGGCAGCAGCATGCGTTGCCCCCATCAAAGAACGGAAAAACAGGTCAGACTCTGCAAAAATACCACTTCCTCTTTGGAAGCAACACCAAGCCACACAACAAGTCAAATGACCTATGCAGGGAAGGCAATTATACAATTATTCCTGTTATTCCTGCTGTCTATATTAACGTTGTATGTTACAGTAATTTGTTGTAGCAAATAAAAGCTCCCTGAGCCCGACAGTGTTTCTCCTTCTCTTTTCATTCCTTCAAGGGCGGAGTGCTCTTGGTCGGCGTACTTACGAACTGTGTTTTGTTGGACAGCGGCGCCTCGGTGATGGATTTAAGGTCTTCCACCGTGACTCTCTCCATGTTGTCCAAGGCAGATCCGGAGTAGAGCACAACATCTTTCACGAAAATACTGAGCGCTCTCAGCATGTAGGACACAAAGAGGTGCATGTGGATGTAGTTCCTGGTGCAGTGCAATCGTCTGGGGAGGAGAAAACAACAAGAGCGGAGAGTAGATCTTGATCTGTTGAGAATTGTGTCTGTGTGGCCTGGCGCACCTTAATGTAAGTGTGTAACCTATTGCACACACACACACACACACTACCCATCCTAATTAGAAGCAGCTGACTGCAACACATTCTTGCGATTACGCGGTGTGAAATGCACAAATATTGAACTGCTCAGCTTGAAGCGGGCGGTAGAAACAAAATTGAAAGCATGTGTTGAGAAAAGCATGCAAATTTCCTTCTAGACAAACACAAGTGTGTCTGTCAAAAGCTCTTCACAAAACGTCCCGTCTGAGCGTTTACAGACAGGGATGTTTAGGGGGCGGTCCAGTACTGCGAGCAAGCTGCTGGATCAATGACCGCAAAAAAAGAAAAAGAAAAAATAATGATAAAAAAAAGTAATAAAAAAAAAAATATCATAAATCAATACATTTCAACATTAAACTTCAAGTGTATAAAAAAACCTATGCTTTTAAAATTCAGTATAAACTGTTTTTTCCCCAAAGCTTCATTAATGAGCCTATTTGACAAGCCTCCCTTAGAGAAGTATTGATTTAAAAAAAAAATGGAACACTAATAACCTACATTACCCCGGTGAAAGATTGTGAACACAACTGCTAATGTGAAATATCCCTTTTCTCCCCCTGGAAAAGCTTTACGAGCTCCGTATGTCCAAAAGCTGACATGTTTAAGGGGGGAGACATGGCTGGAGTGCTGTGGAGCACGAAGCCAGAATGTCAGAGGGCCCCTCGGGATGACTTATTAAACTCATTTGGCCCGTGGATACTTCTGGTGCCAGTTGGGAGCGTTCCCAACACTGCCTGCCTGTTTGTGGAATCAAGTTTGTGGGAGATTGGTAAACAGCAACCAAACGTCGATTTCCTGATTCTCACTGTGCTCAAAAAAAAGAGCAAATAATGACAAATGTGCCAAGAATTAATCATCCGTGGACAAACATTTATGGAACATTGTTCAGGTGTTTTCTTCGCCACTCAGGTAAGAGACCTAAGATAGAGGCGCCTCTGTGGTAAATCCCTTAATCAGTTTAATTCCATCTGCAGGAGAAGAAAAAGCTCTTTCAAGAACATCTTTTATCTGTAGCTGTAATCTTTCTGAGCTTGTTAGAACAACACGATAAAAAATCCAAGTGTTGTGCCGTTTGTCGTCGGAACCTGAAAACAGCAAAGAATCTAAATGTCAGAAAAAACGGAGCCTCGCGTCTCTGGGAAGCCCGGAGGCCAAAAGGGTGGACATACCACAGCCCGTTAAAAGTCAAAGTAAAAGCCAAAAGGTCACGTTTGATAGAGTTCGCCTGCTTGGGGAGCCGTTCCCGTGACAGAAAATGTGCCGCATCGCACGCTGGCACGCTTACCCGCGAAACCGCGCCACTGAGTCTTGGTGACATTCCGGCGCACGCTGCTACTCTGATAGCGCGGTGGGAAATGTTCCACTACCGGGCCGGCGTGCCAGCAAACCTTCACACAGTGTCCGGACTCCTGGAACCAAATCCAACTCTCGTCGGAAGCGTTCCGCGCTTGGACTGATGCAGTGTGACAGCGTAGACTCACCGGAAATATCCCAAGATGACGACGGCCACCATGAGGGATCCCAGAGAGATGGAGTAACCCACTGTGTAGATGAGATACAGGCGGTGAAAGACGTCCTGTTGGTGAGAATAACGTAATGGATAAAGGTTTCCACACTAAAGTGATATTACGTAACAGGACGGCCGTGAGCATCAAACAGCGGACAAACACATGACCTTTGTATGCTCATGAACTATAAAAGTTCAAGAGGCCTCGGTCACAGTAGTGAAATGTCAACGTTCAGTCAGCAGACACGATATCTTTTCTTAAAATACTGAAACAAATGTGTGTTCATCTACTTTTGACTACATTCTACCATTCGTGCATCTGCCTTTGTGGTCAACAGCTGCGCCCGCCGCCTCGAGAGCCCATCGACATAAACATCTGCAGCCAGAAAGGAACTGCAGGGCGCCGTGATGAGGTCACGCCCACATCCGAGGCACCACGTTGACGCAGGAGGGGAAAATGTATGTGTGGCCAATTTGTGTTTCTAATGTTGTAGCACAATTAATGAATGAGTTATTGCTCCATTTCTCAATGCCCCCTTGTGGCAAAGCATTTTGCGGCCAGTAGCAGAAGAACACAAGCATCTAATATGATAATACGCCAAATCTATTTAAAGGCAAATGTTTTATATGTGAGATTATTAAAATTCTTCCAAACCATTATTAAAAGATATATATATACCATAGAAATTCTTTAAAAGCCATGTTGGCCATTTTTGAGTGGATATGCGGGTGGAATTTTCTTGTAAAATTCCACAGTAATGATGATAAGTGCTGTTTTTTCCCCCTTTCTAGCCACACCGTTTTCTACCACTGCAAACTTTATTCTCTGCCATTCAACCCTCATGCAGCGATCGAGTCTCACGGCTCGAGTTCACAAGCCACGCTCGGTTTTCTCAACATGCGCTTTGCTGTGACGGAGACATTAGTGCCGTTTATGATTGTCGCTTTGACTTGTCTTAGATTTCATGGTATAGATGCTCCAAGAATCTTTATATGGAGCTAACGTAGCCCGAAGTACTTTAATGAGTTGTCACTTGGCTCCGCGGGACGCTTTAACAGGCCCGATACGCCAATCCTAGATTGCGTCCGGCACTATCTGCCGAAATGACGTTTGCTCTACTTTAAGGAACTATCCGAAAAAAACCCGGCTGCACAGTTCTCCACCTCTTTTAAGCCCTACAGGGATGGCGTTGGTTGTCACACTCTGATTGGCCGAGGGCAGCGAGCTGCTCTCTATCCTTCATTAGGGGCCATGCGCAGCAGGGGATCCGAATTACCCTCCAATCAACCTCTGGAAATTGGGACAGCGAGTACCAAAGACTGTCGTTCTTCTACGAAAGGACGAAATCTCCTTTTTTGTCGCCTGTGCGGACGGACTTTTCCGTTTCAATGTGAGAACGTGTCCATAAAGAAATAGCTGCTGGAGTTTGATGCAATCAGTCGCGGTGGGAAGTTCTGAATTATTTTAATTGAAGAACTATATTGACTTGCAATATTTTGCGAAAGCGAAAAGTACACAGAGCGCTGCTGCCTCTAACTAAACGAAATACAGATACAAGCTCAACATTGAGCGTGAATTTTGTTTTGCACATGTAAAATCTTTATTAAATCAAATATTTTTAGATTGGTTTTGTTTTTCACAGGTTGCACTTGTTGTTATTATCTTGAAAAGACATTCAGTGAGAAAGAGGTAAATTACAGCGACAACTTTTGGTTTTCTTGAAAGCAATTGCAATTTTTTAATCTATTATTTTAAAACGCATCGATGGTCACAAAATGTAATTTCCAATGAAATTTCCACAAGTACAATTCTGTTGGGGGGAGGACATTTCTCTTTTTGAGGTTTGAGAGCCACTGGTGTAAATGAACCCGATCGGACCGTGTCGGATGCTGACCTCTCACCATCAAACACCTTCAGGACATCTGGGATGAGCTGGACCGCCAGCTGTGAACCGGTTATTATCACCAGTCATCGCCCCCCCCCACCAAAGTCATACTTTGATTTGGGTTTCTTTTTTCTCATCCAAGCCGTGTTTCAAAATCAGGCAACATACCGCACGGGTGTAACGTTCAGCTGTCCACATCCAACACATTTACAGGATGTATGACGACGGGAGAGAAAAACACAGGAATATGAAAAGAAAATGCATATTTAAAGGCGTGTTGCACAGTTCAGCATACTGGTAGCCTCAAATGCTTTGGACATCGTCATCACCAGCAAAGTGACGCTGTGGGCGGAGACAATGGGTCTGAATGTCTTTTCATCACTTCCTGGCTAACCATGTAAACCAGTAAACCGTGATGTGTTTTTTTCTGAACGTGACACTTTCTAGGGATTTGCAATTTGCAGTTACGACTAATTTGACACCGCTTTAAGTGTATATTTAAACATGCATTTATTGGACAGCAGCCTCGTAACTTCACTGAGCAATTCCACTGCCGTGCCGTCATTATCTCGCTGTCATGATCTCAACATTTCATTAGATATGATTACAATTTATTAGCAGTGTACATTACCAAGAAAACACGTGGACAACGTGTTGCACATTTAAAACGGGATCGCTCAGAATGCTGCAACAGTTCAATATCTGTTACATGACACTTTACTGACGTCTCCACAAAGGCTGTTGCGGGAGGCCGGCGCTCTGGCCGTGACAGCCGCCGAGCGTGTAAACGGAGAGGCGACGAATCTTACCTTTTCATGGCTGTGGTTGTAATGGTAGAGGAATTTTGTGCATTCATTATAATTGGCCCATGTCTTGTTGGCTGTCACCAGTTCCCAAGTCCCATTGTTGTCACACCGCCGGTATGCCAGTCCTAGACATGGAACGGAAAAGGCTACTTTTAATCACAGCATTTTGCCGGTTGTCTCTTGAACCCCGTGCAATTAATTCGCCCGCGGCTTCCTTCTCAGTGGAAGCCGCGTGATTGTAGAAATTGTGAAAAAAGGTGAAGTTGTGTTCGCACGGCCTCCGTCAGCCCGAGAGGCCCGCTCCTTTCAGCGCGTCCTCTGCTGTTCGGGGGCCGGTCTCACCTTTGTGGTTGAAGTCATGAATGTACTCCGGACACACCATGGACACCAGGTTCCCCGGACGCCCCTCAGGCCAACAGATGACGCCGTCCCACTCTGGCGAGCAGAAACCGTCTGCGGACACAGAAGCAGTGCCGGCTTTGAGAAAAAGAGCCACATGGCGCTGTTCGCCCTCCCGCGGTACCGTTGGATAATTTCAAAGAAGCCCTTCAAAAAGTAGGGCAGGTACAGACAAACACCCCGTCTATTGTCACGTGATCAAGACTTTCATTCGTGGAGTTGTACGTTGAATCCAGCGAGCTCGGTGCACCTCATTTGTTATCTGCAGCTGCATTGTTGATGCCATCATATTGTTTTTAATCTGAATGGAGTCTGTTTCCGTTCTGATCTCATTAAAACGAGTCGGACTGCATCGCAGCTAATGGCCAGTGGCAAAATACGAGATCTGCATCAAGTACTATATCTTCATGACTGTACCTTGAGTTTGTTTTTGACCTCCATTAGTCTTTTTATGTCATTATAGTTTTTATGCAATTAATTGGTTGGTAGTTGTTTAGAATGTCAAAAGCAATCATAAATAAAGCAAGCACACATTGATTAGGTACGTCTGACCTAGAGCTCAAACCCCTTCAATATTATATCTGAAATAACATACAACACGTAAACACGGCAAATATTCCCATTAGATGTGCTGCATTTTAGGATGAATGATGAAACATAGATTTACTTTCCCAAAGAATGCACGGAACCAGAGCGCAGTAACACACATTTGTTCAAATAAAGAGCTGCAGAGGAGGAAAAGCCTTTTCTAAACATAGAGCCCCCTAATTATCAGCGAACCCGTGGACTTTAGCCCTCTGATAGCGGGAACAAAGTCCCTTTTCCACACAAACATCTGGCATAAGCGTCCCTTTCTGGTTTGGCATTTACTGTATTTTGTATTATTGAAGACATGTGCCTCGCTTTGACCACTAATAAGTAGCTACGGATAAAACTAAAACGATCCTCTCTTTGCAGTGGAGACACTCTTTTCTCATTCCTATAATCACACTTACAGAGGAAACATCTGAAGCGATGACGACATGCTTTTTATTTGCCTCTCACTTAGAGCGCAAAATTAAAGAGCAGACTGAGCGGAGCTGACTGAACCCTGGCGATTTCTGGTTGGAGGAAAACGCCGTTTAGGTATGAAGAATCACGCTGACCACACAGAGTAAACTTTTGCCATCGGTTTTATTGCCGTAGGACCACCTACTAACACACTTGAATTAAACGCAGCACACAAAGACTCGCGACCGCCATCACATAAACGTGACTGTGGGAGGACTTTGCCACTGGTGATGTAACTGTTTTTTTCCCTACTCATGTGACTCCGACCTGAAGATGTCAAACCCAGTGTTGCGCTTTCACCTGATACATGCAACCTTTTTTGTAATGATTGCTGATGTTAGCCTTCACCCAGACCGCCAGCTCGAAGGCTGCGCTATTTTCACACTGCGAGGTCTGGGGCATTGAACCCACATCCCTCCACTGTCCTCTCCAGGCAAACCGCAGTCTGAGACACGTAATGGAGACTTTTGTGTATTTAAAGCACAAATGGGAAACAAAAACACCAAGATCACATTTTGAAATTCAAGCAAAAGCGATGTTAAAACCTCACAATGGACTTAATCTTGATCGGTGCACGATCAGTTTATTCCCCCCGGCGCTAATTCTACATTTCACACTAGCGTTTCAAAAGATCCATTACTCCACAACTCCTATAATAGTTCAGAAAACCACAAGTCGACGCACTCTTGGGGTGGTCAGGTAGGACAAATACAGATGTGAAAGCCAAAGAGTCCAAAAAAAAAATGCATACTGGCTGCTATTCTGTGAGATTCCCTCAACCCACGGATTCAAGGTCCCACCACAATACACGAAGGAGTGTTTCAAAAATATCCCTGGAAGGAATTATGATGACCACTTCAGGGAAAGGGCCTCACATAGTCCACTAGGAAGCACAGCTGATGCTTTTGCTAGACCCTGATCCCAAACTTTAAAAGCCTCCTAGATTTGAATCAGCGTCGCCGACAAACCACCAGATGAGACGCTGAAGTTCAAATCAGAGTTAAATTAACTGCAGTGATTCACGTGCCAACAGCTCAAATCAAGCGCGTGTAATGATGTGCTCATCCGGGCGTAGAGCAGCCGCGTAGGGGACTCCTTTTCTCTTCATTAAGGTAACATATTCATCCTTCAGCCGTTATGTGATTGAACGCACACGTGCAGCCTTCCAAAAGAGGTCAGAGAAGCCCCCACGCACGAGGTGAGTCACGGTCGCTGTGCCGGAAGCATCCGGCCTGCAGGTCAGCTGTGATGTGCTGATGTTCCCTCAATAAGGCACCGCCAGCAACAGCAACAACACTCCCCATGGGATTACTATTATATTATATTATTAAAGTCCAGCTTTAGCATATGAATGAGTATAAAAGGCCGCTGAACTGCAACTAATTATTATTTATATTCTAAATGAAACTGCCAATTTTGGAATGATTTAAAGGTTTCAACAAATAAAAATAAATAAATAGATTGAAACTTTGGGAAATATTCTCTTTTATTGGATGAGTCTCATTCCACTGTTGGCAATGTTATCCAAATAAAGAGACCAAAACCATCAACATGTAATATATTAACACATCAAATATTGACTCTCCTAAAAGGGAAATAAACAAACAACATAACGTGTTAATAAGCGAGCTTGAGATTTGTAGGTGGATGAGTGAATTGTTATTAGTAATAAATGTTTCCGGTCTTTGTGTTAAAGCACTAAGATGAACACACACGTGGTCCTCTAATCCATTCACTCTAAAACCACGCAACTAATCACACGTTATTCTAAATCAACTAATACACATGTTTCACACATGTGTCATATCTTAATTCTCTCAAGATTGCATCACATTTCAATAATTTGGTTGAAATTCAATCCCCAAACCCCCCCGTGTGAATGACAGCACGGCTCGCGCGCGTTGGGAGGCCGTTTGTGAAGCGCGACACTCGCCAATCGCCGCTCATTTTTTGGGCCTCGTCGAAAAAAACCATGAAAAGTTTGACGGACCGCTCAGGGCGACGTACTGAAACTGAGTGGGAACCGTCAACAAAAGCTTTTGTGTTCTCAGCCCGGAGGAAAACATTTTTTAATGACGTGTTTCATTTACAAGTGGGGTTCGGTTTGGAGCAGCCGTGGAACTCCAACCACAATGCGCTGCTGGTTGAGGAGAAAATAACACCACTGGTTTGGCCGCGGAAACCAAAAATCCTCCTTCTGGACACTGTGAGATACAGGAGATGCTTTTCCACACACAAACGCCCCCCCGGGGATCCGCTGCGACCTCAAACAGGAGGACAAACGGAACCCAAAACAGATTTCTTTCTTCTTTTTTTTTTTTTTTCATTTGAAAGAACCGCGACGTTCATCTTGATTTGATTCTTCTTAAGGAGGCATCGCGTTGGTGCTGATGAGCATGAGCTCTCATCGTCGCCGAATCAACAATCACGTTCAATCACGACAACGAGGCCGCCTTCGCCGGGTCGACCGCCGCGGCTCCCGCAGCCGGCTGCTCTGTCTACGCCCACAGTGCCTGGCAGGCTCGGCTTTTTTTGGGGGGGGGGTTGATTGATTTCTTCCTCCATCACTCAGGCTTTTCTCCTGGTGCTCCTCTTCCATGTTATCGGCCGGCCCTGCCTCGTACCATTGTGTGTATTTCACATCTGTGGCCGCGGGGTTCTGCTCCGTTTCGCAGCTGGAATTCATCGGGCGCGGCCGCGTCTGTTCTGACAAAGGAAACTACTTTTGCCTGCGATGGATGCCGACGTCTAGTAGGAGGAGGAAAATCTAACTACTCGAACCTAATCAGGGTAATGGAGTGGGACCCACGTCCCTTACGTCCGACACAATTAGCTTCATTCAGCGTTGCTATACATCACTGTTGGGTTGAATAAAAAGGCAAATCTGATTTTTAACTAAATATTTTGTACTAGGATCAATAAGCTGCAGTTGGTTCGTTACTTAACTAATTGCATGCTCAGTTATGACTATTTTTTCTCTTTTTTTTGCACCATTATGAGGTGGAGGTTTGTGATTAATCGACTGGTATGTTGTAAAAATGCAGAAATACATTCAGGTCCCCCTAAATATTAATCTAAAAAGTGGGGTTTCCGTGCCAATGATATGCTGGTGTGCATCAGCCGGTCAGCTTGTGTAGGAACTTTGACGTGGTCGCGTTGTTTCTCTACTCACCGGACACGTTGTGCTTTGCATCGATGTTGCCCTCACAGATCAGTCTGGCTCTGAACAGGAGGGCAATCTGCTCGTCTCTCGTCAGCACATCGTCTGCGCAAGCCTGCAAATTTCAAAGGGGAGTTGATACAGGGAAATATTCAAGGGCAGTTGGCGTGTGAGTGCACTAAATATGTTTCAGTCCCGTATCGATGTGGTATCTGAAGTGAAGCAGCAGCTTGCTCACAAACTCTCAGATGACACTGAATGAACATAGATTCATCCATTTACTAAAGATTATTGGCCTGGAATTGATTTAGATTCTTCCCTCAGTAACATCAAAGCTAATGTAGCTCATACACTGATTATTTATTAAATGCATATATATCACATATATATATTTGAATGTTTGGATGTGGAACATGTGAAGAATGACAAAAACTGGTAATAAATAAATAAATAAGTAATGGCCGTGCCCTTTAAATTCAAGTTGTGTTCGACCTTTCTGGCCATAACTCACAGTTATCATTGCATTAACAACCTTTGATTCTTCAAAAACACGAGTTCCTCGCCGCAGCTGCTTCACAGCCCTCCAACCTCTGCTTTCTGCATCCCCGGTCACAGCGCTGCAGGCAGCGCGTTCTAAATCCAGTTTACTGCTCTGAAACGTTCTTGATTATGCACACAGCTGACGTTTCCTCAAACAGAATACGCCGGAAAGCGACCCGGTGGCCTGGATGATGTACGGCCTGTTCCAAATCCCGACGGTCGGATCGCATTGTACTTTGACAGCTACGGTCCGGCAATCGCAGCACTCGTGAATGAAGTGGTATTTATCCTGTTTAAAATCAGTTAAAAGACTGAATGTTTTCCCTTAAACAGTCGGCGTTTGTCTCGCTGGTTGTGGTTCCGGCTCGTGTTCCTGTGATTGTACCCGTGTAGAGGTCACTAATCACACGAAGCTGTGACATCTCATTCAGCTTTTGAACACGTGTCTCGGCGCGCGGTGGTATTGAAACATGTTGCATTCACACAGGTCACACTGACTAACCCGGCGTGCTGCTGGTCCGTGGATAACTTTGGGGTAATGACAAATGTGACTGTGTTGAAAATGAGCACATTGATTTCTAACGGAGCGTGACAAGAAACGTGGGAACGAGAACGGAGGAGTTCAAACCCGGTGCTACATGAAAGCAGATCAGGGCTTCACTCATGAGGATTCTCTACGCAGTCTGCCATTTATTTTTATTTTTTTTGTGCTTCTTTGAGTCACTACGGCAGCAAAATGCAATATGCATCCACAGAGCGAAACACAAACTAACGCGCATGCCACAGGCGGGCGGGAGGCAAAGCTTTGAGAAGCCCCAGTCTTCGTTTCAACGATGCAGAGCAAACAAATTAAAGACGTCGGCCCACAGCAGCGGACTCCCGCGCTGCAGTTGCGATCTGTCAAAAGCCGATTAGGTCTCATTCATCCGAGAATAAAGAAACAAAAAGGTACGGAGAGTGAAACGGTTCTAAAAATGCATGACATCCATTTTATGTATAAAACAAATCAGGGTTAAGATGCTGCTGCCCAGTTTTGGTTTGTTTGCTAGATGTTGAGTACTGGACACAAGGTCAGAATGTTAACATTAAACAAAAACTAAAAGTTTGAACTGTAATATTTTTTAAATCCTACATAATTGTTAATACAGGCATTAAATCTATGTTGCTTTCTGTGTTTTTCACAACAAAAAGTATCTTCAGAGTCAAAGATCTTTCACTGAAACGTGTCATGCAACAATGTAAGGACGGTCTTTTATTATTAAGTAAAGTATTACCAACAAAATGTATCTAAAGTATCCAAAGTGAGAGTGGGCTGAAATACAAATACCTTTAATGTACACAGAACATGAGTAAATGTACCTAGTTGACCTTCCATCACTGGGAAGGAAGAGACAGGAAAGTACATCTTGTGGAGCTTTTCAGCCCTTTCTGGTGCATCTTTATAATCTAAAATAAATAATAACTAAAACACTTCTAAATCTGCTGAGACAAGAAGCCATTTGGGGGGAAAAAGATGTGTATACATTGTCTGTGCTGCAAGTGCGTAACTTCCTCATCTTAAAATTAAACTGCAAATACCAAAACCGTGATACCTCAATCCATCAATATTTTCACAACTTACAGTCCCGAAATAAGGATGTGCAGTCTGAGAGCTGAATACGTCTCCAGAATGAAGAGGTTTATGGCTTCGCACGGCAAACAAACCCAGATGGAACAACATTGGACCACAGGCGAACAAGGATAGATTCTACCTGTTTACTGTGACAACTTTGCCAATACAGAATATTCCACTGAGCCCCGCTGAGACATTTATTCTATTTTCATCTGGATAACCGGCTGGTGTTAGTTTGAACCGACGGGAAACCAGAAACCGGGCATCTGGATGGTAACTGCTCTGAAAGGACAAGTGTAATCATCATCAATGCAGAGAGAAAGCTTTGGTTAGTTTGGCAGTTCGGGGGAATTTTCACAGCTGGAATGGACATTAAAAAAAGCACTTAATACACTTTACATTTGATGGATTTTTTAATTATGGTCATTCTCACAATTCGCTTTTTCCTACATCAGTGCGGGCTTTCTTCTACAAACCTGATAAGCAAAGCTGCCACTGGAAGCCGTTAGGACACAAACGTCTCAACGTCTGGGGCTCAGTTTGTTTGTGCAACATTAAACTAAAATGAGCTGTGAGGTTTCGGCGATGCACAAAGGGACGCGGGTGAGTTTGCCGTGGAGCATTTCTGGAAGAGCATCCTGGGTAATAAGCGCTGTCGAAAAAGTCTTCCTCCTCCGCTGGCTGGAGTCCAAACCTCCAAAGTAAACACGGCTCTTACTGGGAGAAACATTTACATTCTTATTTACTGCGTTTCAGTCAAAAACACAGTCATCTTTTTGTTAAGCGTGCCAAAATAAAATTTCGAAAATATAAATATGCGCGTTTTCATCACCGGTTCGCTAGAATACAAACTCCACTTGAATAAACCACAAGTTTCTATTTGTCTTTGCAAACTGTGGCTTGATGACTTAAACTGCAGCTCTCGGCGAGGATATAAGACCAATATTGAGAGAACTGCTTTTAGGCCGGCGTGTCAAGACAGCGTTGGACCACTACGACTAAATACTGACATATGTGAATGAAGCTACATATGCAGGTCCAGTTCTAATTCCAGCATCTGGTTTCTATATTATTGTAGTAGCTTAGATCTTAGTTATATTTAGTTATAAAAGGTTAAGCTTGTCTGGTACCACAGATTTCTCACGTCTGCATTTGTGGATTTAAAAAAAAAAATGTTTTGTAGAAAAATATGGATTCATGTGGATATATGTGGTATGAATACATAGAGGGGAGACAGTGGGTTTCTGGTACGTTACCGTCTTGATTGTGGCCGGCCTTGAGACTTTTTTTTTTTTAGTTTTTGTGGTTGACCAGAGTCATTTCCTGAGGTGCCCTTCAGCGAATACGAGAGAGAACGTTTGAGCCGAGGTCGACTTTCATTGGGAAAGGAAAAGCAAAAAAGAGCTGGCCGTTAAAAAAAAAAGCCGAAATGATCCGTAAACGGCGCAACCGAGTTGAAAGAGCGTGTAATTGTCTCCGGTCCGCCGACAATGGACTGCGAGAATCCAGGAAAAACGAGTCTGACTGCAGAACAAAGCTCCCGGGTCCGTAGAACAAGGCTCACTTTTAACCAGAAGTTTGAGCGACCGCGAAAGGCGAGACTCGTGTCTCCGTTACGAGACGGTCGTGACCTTTGCGCTGATTCCCTTAAAGTTAAAGGGACATTTCTCTGAAGTCATTGTGGAGGTGCGTGTAGGGTTAAGATCTCCCCACAGAGAAAAATGCATCAACTACCAGTAGTTGTACAACTTAAGATGATTTACATTCATTTAGAAGGGTTTCATTTTTCGGCTCCACTGGAAACGAGGATTAAAAAATATATATATTTAAAGGTTTTGTTGGGAAGAACAGGAGGAAACCTGATGGGGGCCCGCAGGGCCACTATTTGTCCGAAAGCTGTCTCCTCTCTGTCAGTCACCGGCTGAGAGCCAAAACAACAGTTCACATTTAGACGGCCTCTTCGTCCTCACCGCCACCGAGGACGGTGGAGCGCTTTTTGGGAACGACAGTAGAGCATTCTCGTCTTGTCCGTAATGTCACAGCAACGAAGGTCGGAAAAATCGAATTGAAAGTGCGTCCCCGTTAACTTTATGGATACTGCGTAAAGCCGGAGACCACACAACTCAAGCAGCATAAAACAAGTCTCATTCATGCAGTCACATGCTCGCTTCTTCCCAAACAAATGCATCCTCGAGAAAATCTAGTTAGTTAAAGTCTCAGGGTTGCACAGGCCGTGTCATTTATACAAAGATATTATGATATATTGTTATTCCCACTGTAGTTATGAAAATACACCTTGTTTTTTTTTTACAATAATTCCAAGTAATACAGGCGTTTGATCAACATTTTGAGGGTTACTATTCCTTTAAAAACCCTTCACGCATGTGAGCTGTAGATACACTCACCCTGTGTTTTACCGCAGTGTTTTGATTGCAGACGCGAAATCTGGGATTGCGACTCCGCTACTATTCCATCAGGAAGAACAAACCTATTAATTTCCTCCCTCCCTTCAGTCAGCCGTTAATGCCTCCCTCTGTTAGCTGATCCGTCAGCGCCGATGAGATTTAAAGGGAGACTTGCCTCCGCAGATCACACGTCGTCACGCCGATGATAAATAATACACAGATAATATTTACTCTGGTCAGTGCAAAGCGCCTCTATTATGGGAATACAGGCGAATGTTTGTTTTATGTACTTGTTTTGGTCACTTGCCATTCTTTACACCATAGGCTAACATTCACTTCCTTGTTGTTGGCATGTATTCAAAATTTGATCCAGTGGGATTTTGGACTTTCCTGCATGTTTTTTTTTTTTTTTCTCCACAAAATAGGGGGTGGGGGGGGGGTCTACAAAATTATAACTGCTGAATTCTGTTTTCAATGGCCCGGCCACTATCTGGAAAAAACATGAATATGTTACTTTTGACATATTGCACCGCATGAATGTTTCAGCAGATGAGGTTG